TTAGAAAATTTTGTCCACTACCACCATAATTGAATCTTTACCTCTTTGAGTTCATACTCACATCTTCCCAAGGTGCTGTTGGAATTGGAAGAGGAGTATATAATCCGGCATTGCTCCCATGCATCTTGGCTTTGTGACAAGTAACACATCTCTTCACAATCTTCTCAACATCTTGCATAAGCTTAGGCCAATAGAAGTGTTCTTGCACCATAATTAAGGTTTTATCTCGGCCAAAATGTCCAGCAAACCCACCGCCATGAGCATCGCGAATTATGGCATCTTTAAGTGAGCAGTTTGGTACACAAAGCTGCTTACCCCTGAAAAGGAAACCATCATGAATAAAAAAATAGGTTCTTTGGTCCACCTAAACAAGTATTCCAAAGAGTGCCAAAATCAGAATCCTCTTCATATAGGGTTTTAGAGCACGTTTGGTATAAAGGTTCTAAAACCTAAAATTATGATTCTGTTTTAAATTAATATTTGTTTATAAAAAGTAAAAAGTGGTTATGATTTTACTCACTCATAATCAGTGTTTAGTTTAGATAGTTCTGATTTAAGATTTGAACCATGATGTGATATTTTAAACTAAAATCACTCATGATTTTAAAACCGCCTCCCCTTAATAACCTCAAACCCAATCACCACAGATCGCATAGTGTTTAACAAAACATGTATTCTACTCAATGTATCAGCTACCTTATTCAATTGCCCTGATTTATGTTTGAGAGCAAATTGAAAAGCCTGAAGGAATTCCACCCATTTTGCATGTCGTGCACTTAGCTTGTGTTGGGTGCTCAAGCACTTCAATGCCTCATGGACTGAATAAAGCACAAACTCTTCGGGCAGCAAATAGTGACTCCAATGACTAAGAGCCCGGATTATTGCATAGAACTCTCTGTCATAAATTGAGTACTTCCTTTCGGCTTCGTTCAATTTTTCACTAAAGAAAGTAATATGTTTATTATCGATCTCCTAACGGTTTATAATGAAATCAATAAATTATTGATTCAAAATAATCAATCTTAATCAGTAATCTTTTTACATACATAAAAAGTCAAAAATATTTTTCTTTCATTTGACGTGTGGCATCACATGAAGGCTTCACCTTCTTTTTGTTTTCATTTCTTATTTTCCTTCAAACATTTTCATGATTTCTTTCTATCTTCTCTTTTTTCTATTTTTTTCCCAAAGTTCTTTTTTTTTTACTTTTTTTTTTTTTACTTTTTTTTCTCACTTTGCACATATTAAAATAAGTTATTTTAAATATATAATCTTACTTTTTCTTCTACAGTTTAATTATTTTTTATGTGTTTTTTGAAATTATTTTTATTCTCACTTACTCCTATTAACTAATTTTTACAAATGTCCATATTATTTATTTCTTAGTGTATACTTATTTTTTAAAAGCCCTTTTTTCTTCTCTTTTTACGGTTTTTTTTTTTATTTTACATTTTTAACTATGAATTAGTCAAGTGGTTTCAAATATCTCCATATTTATACATATTTTTTTTTTATGAGTAGCACTCTCAACTACTATTTATTATTTAAATAAAACTACTCTAATTTATCTCCATTTAAATAATTCTCTTACGTATGACTCTACTCAATATTCTTTTTCTAAAGTGGCCCTCATAAATATTCTTTTATCTAATTACTTTACTGAAATCATATCTTCTCATATGTGTCTCTACTTAAATATTTTTTCCTTAAACCTTTTGAATATTATTTTTTCATATATATTCCAGAAATAATTTATTCTCTAATTTGTCCACTAAAAACTTTGTTTTTCCTTTTAACTGTGCTCTACTTAAATTTTCTAATTTTTTAATAAACTAAAATCTTAAATTAATATTAAAGTTAATAAAAAAATTTTGAAGAAATTTTAAATATTTTTATCCAAAAATTATAACACGTTGAATACAAATGCATAACTAGTAAAAAGAACAAAAGTCAATAAGCGATAAACCACATCAATTGATTACTAAGGGGCTGTTTAGTTCACATTCAAGTTAATAATTTTGATTTATTGACGGAAACTTTGTAAGAGAATAAATTTTTGAATTCATATTCTTTATGAGATGAAAACACTGTAGCTAATGGTTGAGCTTTTTTTAGCTTTTCTCTACTCCAACCATTAGCTAAATAGTTAGCTATTTTTTGAGAATACCTTCCACACTAGCTAAATATAGCTAACATGGAGTGGCTAGTTATTTCATTTGTTGTATAATTTTATTTTTTTAACTGTAATAAATTGTAACATCCCCAAATTATCAAGCTTACAGTGGAAGATTTTTAATCTGATATAATCAATTTGCTGGTAACATTGATGAATGCTACTACTGAACTTAGTTTTTAAACAGAATAATTTGTATATTTGAAAAAGTCAAGCTAAATGCATGAAAGGAATCTTATTTTATTTCATAAAAATATTTATACATATGGTTACATACCAGATCAAGCATTTCAGTATGACAAAATTTCTCTTTTGTCCTCCTGACTTCGACATCGACTGCTTTTATATTTATTGTCCTTTCATTAATCTACAACACATGCTAAGTCTTGTGAGATAGCTCAGTAAGTAAAGCTTATGTTCTCATGCATATGAATGTCGTTACTTGTTCTAAAAACTTTCTTGAAAGTTTTTCGATGCGGTCTTATATGCTTATATTTTCTTTGTTCTGACCCCTGAGGATTCCCAGTCTAATAGGCTCTAGCGGGATTTTCTCATTTTTAAGGGTTTATTTATGCACAAATAATATGTTTTGAGTTCTAGTTCTGCGCTAGCTAAAGGAGTCTGGGCTAGCTATAAGCATAACACATCATTTGTTAAGAAAGCTGAATGCATGCTTCAAAATTGTATTTTCTTAAAGCCCCGTTCATTTTGCTAATTCGAGTTTAGAATTCGAGTTTTGCTACAGTAAAAAGTTCTCACAAACAATCACATCTAACTTTTTTACTACAGTAAAAAGCTCTCACATAAAATCACATCTCAACTCGAACTAAAAACTCGAATCAGCGAATTAAACAGGCCCTAAATCATGGTAAAAATGCTCAAACATTCTGCAGCAACTAAAAACATTGGGCTTGTTCTCTTGAGTGAAAAACTCAAAAAAAAGTAACTCGAGTTACAACTTTATTCGAGTTCATGTTCTTTTAAATTTAAATTCGAGTTCAAACTCGAGTTTAGGACTAAAACTCGAGTTCAAGTTTCCCCTTCAACTCGAGTTCAGAAACTCGAACTCAAATTAATGAACAATACTTTTTCTATTCTTAAAAATGCTATAACTTTTTCGTTTTAATTCTGATTGAGATGATTTTTTTTCTATGCGTTGACAACGAAAAGACGAATAAAATCTGACCCATATACCCTATTAAAATTTTTCATTAGCATTCAGTTTTTATTAAAATACTATATAAATACAAGTTCAAGTTTTGACTCACTCAAACACAAACTCAAAAAGATTTTTATCTCAAACCATAACTCAAATGTACACAACTAAACACAAACTCAAGTTACAAGTTCAACTCAAATTATAATTCAAATTCAACTCAAAAATTATACTCAAATTAAACTCTAAAAAAACAAGCCCATTGTAACTTATGCATTTGAAACATGAATATTCAGGCATGTGTCTTATAACTTGTCTTCTATAATAACTTGTCCTAAAAATTTAAAGAAACATTCTTCTTTCTACATCTCTTTTGCTCTCTTTCTATGTTTCTCATTCTAACTATTCTCTCTATTTCTCTCTCTCTAAGCAGTGGATATTGCTATGAATGAAAATGGCACATGTTCCTCATATATATATATATATATATATATATATAGGTTGTTATTTTTAATTATAACCGCTAGATCTAACGGTGCTTTGGCTTAATCTTAACCGTCCATTTATTTTTCATTTTCCAAATAATTCATGATTAATTCATAAAAAGCCAAGTCGCGTCATAAGGAATTCTATAATGACAAGTGTCATTTTAAGTAGTCAATTTGAAGTTCTCTTCTTCTTGTGAAGATTAAAATCAGTATAATCTATCTATTTGCAGTATTTCTAATACCGAAATAACCCAAAAATGTTCCTATAGCAAATTTTTTAGATTTTGAGCCTGCAACCTCAAAGACAGCGAAATTTAGGTCCTTTTTAGTTACAGCAAAATTTAAAACGTGTTTAGAATTCGTTCTAAAATAATTTTATTTTTTATATAAAAATAAAAATAAAAACGTTTTTATTTTTATATAAGAATTATTTTTAAAAATGTATTTACTAGTTTTATTTAAAAATTATTTTCAATTTAAAAAAAAACTAAAACTTGGTAGTTTCATTTTTAAAAATATATAAGAGTATTTAAAATAATAATATATTAAACTCTTCCTCAACCTGTCCCCTTTCAAATACCAATTTATTATCATTTCATCAATTAAAAAAGATTATTCAAACATTATTATTGTCGTTTCATCAATTAATGTCCTTCGACGACATTGAACGGCGAGAAGCCACCCATTGACGTCTCAAGCTCTCTCAGAGTGTACCAATGCCCCCAATCCAAGTGGGAAACGTCAAGGGACAATCACAGTCACCTGATAACCACCACCACCATTTTCATTATTATAACAAGATTTACTAAACTTCGTCAGGTAAGAAATCCGATTATCTTGCCAAACACTCAGATTTTCAGTAAATATTGGCGATACTCGAAATAATCAGCAAATCAAATTTATTTTTTCCCTAAAATTTTAAATTTTTTCTCCTTTTTATTTCTTTTGCCTAAAACTTATTTTATTTTTTCATTTTAATCCTTTTTTGACCTATTTTTAAATTTTTACCCTGAAATTTTATTTTTTTTATTTTAATCCCTTTTACCGTAAAGCTTATTTATTTTTTTTATTTTACTCTTTTATTACCCTTTTTTAACTTCTTAACTTAATACTATTTTTTTATTTTTTATTTTGCCCATGATCAATATTCCATTGAACGGAAGGCGGAAGGACGGACCAATTTAGAATTTGAAACTTCCTTCGCACTTTCTCGAGAAAACCTCTGCTCAGACAAACATTTGAATGTAAATATATTTCCCTCTTCACCTCCTCAGAGCATTTCCTGAGTTCAACCAACTCGGAACCATGACTCGGCGCTCCAACTCAAAGAAATTCAAAGTCTTCGATTTCGACGACGACGATCGCTCCGAGAATTTGCAAACGAGATTTTCTGGCGACCTCCGGAAGATGAGGAAGAAGAACAAGAAGCGCGACGATTCTCCCATTAACAAGTACCATTTCCTCCAGAGCTGTATAGTCCTCTTCCTTCTTTCTATTTTTGGGTGTTCTGTATGGTCCTGTTTGTTTCTCGAGAAAATGCGGGCAAGAGAGAAGTGAGATGTTTTTTTTTTTCGATAAATGAAAAAGAAAAATGTCTGTGCGTTTCCTGAAGCTATTGAAAATGAAAATAGCGCAGAAATTACTTGTTAAAGCTTGTAATGTGGCCTTTCCTTTTGTTATTTTAGTTTTCTTGGCAGCCAAACAAGCCATAAGGCTATATTGTTTTGAGGATTAAAAAAAAATTGATATGGTTTCCAAAGTTTTAAAGGGCCGTTTAGTTCGTTTTGAATTTTTAATTTGAGTTGAGATGTAATTTTATGTGAAAATTTTTTATTGTAGTAAAAAAATTAGATGTAATTGTTTTTTAGAGTAAAACTCGAATTTTAAACTTGAATTGGTGAAATGAACGAGACCAAAAAATGTTTACAATTTCTCTTCTAATCTCATTCCTGACTCTTTTCTTTTCTCCTTTAATTTTGCCTTTTGAATCATGTATTGCCTTTTGACAAGGCGCAATTGTGCTTAATTCAGCCGACTTATAGATTTTGGTTAAACATTTCACGTGATATCGATTGATTTAGTTACTTCTTGTTTCAAACTATGTCTGCAGTTGCACGTGGTACTGAGATTGCAGAACAGGGTTTTAGAGATGAACCTGGTGAACCAATTGATGTTGATACTGAAGGTAAGTTTATTATTGAGAGATCTCATATGTCAAATTTATGTTTCCGAGTTTCTGCGGTGCACAAGGGGCAGAAACCGAGGACAAGGAATGCAATAGATTGTTAGAAACTGATGCTAGTGATGCAGGTTGTCAATGCACATATTCTGTGATGCATCCAAAGGACACGCGACTTGAAGATGCTGCTGTGAAAATGGAGATCTCTGGGTTAGATGCCTTTTTAGCATCTAATTCTTCAATTCATGAGGTAAATTTCATAAGCTGGTTTCTTATTTTGAAGTTTTCCTATTTGCAGTACATAATGCTCTTAGTTTCTATATAATGTTCAAGATTCCTTATTTATTCAGTTCCTTATGAGGTAGTAAAATCTTAATAATTTGTCTACTAATTGCAGAATGAGCCAATGTGTACAGTGTCATCAGAATCCAGCAATAATAGAACAAGCACTTCAACGACTTCAAGGTTTTGTCTTGCAGATGATGACGGTTTGCCCCCCTTCCTTTTCTCATACTAAGTTTTTGCATGAAGTCCAAATTTTTTTAGTACGCCATATATATTAGTATATACACTGCGATTTAGTCATCTTCACTCGTAACCTGTGCACAATTTCAGTTCTACTGGAAAAACAACTAATAGAGCCTGATTGCGGTGGATGTGAAAATGTAAGTTCTCTTGACTAGTATGTGTTTTCTACTACTTAAGCCTAAAGTAGGAAATTTAAGTAATATTGGATAAGATCCAGAACACTCAATACAAACATTTATTATTTTTAGTTCATCCTTTTTGTTATCCATCAAAAGGATTAATACCTCTGTCCTACTTAGCTACTTTTATTATAGCTGAAATAGTATATTCTTGCCATATGTTTTCTGAGTAAGTTCCATTTCCTAATTTCTACTTCATATTTTTCTGCCTCATCTACATGGGATATCTATATTACAAACATCTCTGTTTCATTGATGAACCTGGTCACCAATTTCGCATGTCAGAATACTGATGTTGTTAATATAATAAAGCAGACACTTGATTTTGTGTTCAATGCAAATTGCATTTCACAGTTGCAAGTTAATGTGCAAACACACCAGTGCATCTCCCTGACGTCTTTTTTTTTTTTTTCCAGTTAAATGCTAGTTTAGCTATAGAAATTCAATAATGTATACTAAGGAATCATGTTGAAATCTCCCTCTATTCATGCTGTTGGTCTACTTGTGCATACACGCTAGAGAAGTTGCATCCATCTCTGTGATTGAAGTGCAACTTGGACAGTATTTTGTGAATACTAAAATATCTTTCTACTTGGTCTTTCTGTTTCCTATCCTTTTATATGGCTTTATTATTCGATTGTCAATTTCAACTGACGTTTGATGTCTCTTAACTGGCAGGATAACGAAAATATGAGTGTTAAGATAGTCCCTGATTTTGTTTTATATGGAGACATATCTTTTGGGGAATCATGCTTAACGTTTTCATGTGGCGGCATCAAGCTAGAAGCTTTAGCTTTAAGTGGGACCAGGAAAACATTATCCTTTGAATGGGATATCACGGATATAATTTCAATTAAATCGGATTGGACTGTATCAGTAAGTTATATTGTTTTCCTTTTAACTTTCTTTTATTTTAGGCAATCTTAATATTTGCTGGGCCTGGGTGCAGGTCGAGACTGCCATTGTTAACCTTCATCTAAAGTCAAAGACTTCTAAAGGATCTCAAAATGAAGATAAAACTTCAGGTCTGTGAAATTTCAGAGGGGGGTCTTTGGGGCTGTTTTTTGAGAATAAATTGATCAACTTGTGCATGTGTTTTTCTTTCGAAGTCTAGTCCTTTTTAGCAATGTTTTGTCTCTAGAGATTTTACCCCGGTGTTTTTCAACATATTTTTTCCATGATAAAGATAGAGGGCGCAAAGCAAAAAATATAAAATATAAAATATAAAGAAAAAAAAATTATAACATTGGAGATGAATGAACTGATTTTGACTTCTATGTATAGTGCGTAGTTTGAGATTGAATATTTTCATCAGCACTTTTCTATTTTGTCCAAATTCCAAATTACAATTCTGGGTGGAAGATCAATTCTTTAAGCTATGGCGGATTTCATCCAAAGTAATGTGTTTTTATTGTCATTGTGAATGTTCTAAAATGTATTTTTGTTTGGCTTTTACGAAATGGTTACAAACTGACTGGTTATGTAATATTTCTTGTTTTAATCAACCTATGTCTAATAGTAATTTTCCCCAATTACTTGCACAGGTATTGAGCAGTTAAATTTTGCAGTTTATGACCCTGGCTGGGCCAAAGCACAGAAAGCAATCAAAAGATTGGATGCAAGATACAATGATATATGGAACATCAACTTTGAGTGAGTTTTGATGGGCTCACCGTACACATGTCAATACCCTTTTCTACTTCTTACTCTATTGTGTTTGTGTAGATTAAACTATTTATTGGATTGACTGTTCATTGTACACGTGAATAAGGAATCTATTTGGACTTGACCTTTTCATATGGCGTTTGAAATGTCTTTTCACGGTTTTCATTTCATTTCTCAGAAAGTTGATTTTTTTTTTAGTTGTAAATTAGTAGGCTTAAATTTCAGCAGAGATGTTTTATGATGGAGTTTTCTTGAATAGTTCTCATTTCCTTTTAACATAATTTTTACCTGTTTGCAGACATAATTCATCAGTGCATTTGAAGCATGGTGTGTAATTATTCATTTACTTTCTTGCAGTACTGATATGGTAAAAGATGAAAAAGATTTGTTTCCTCGGAGTAGGATGTTGTCTCCAAAGCATTACTTCTGTGGGTAAGGCAAAAAAGCATATGTTCTCATAATTTTTGTTTGGATGATTACTCATTCTAATTCTCTACTACCTTCTGCTATGTTTAAGTTATTCAATAGGCATCTTTCTGAGCTTGGTGGTTCTATGGTGTATCACATTGTTTCTTAGATGTCATGTCACTCTTCACAAAGACTTGCAATTTTTCTCTTACAAGTAATCTCAGAACCATTTACAGACTGTTTTGTGTGAATGTAATTTTATGAGTTGTCATGCTTTAGGTATCAGGACAGGATCAAACACCATTAGTGTCAAATAGTCAAATTCCTTTTCTTAAAAGCATACAAGGCGCTTTATATCAGATTGGATCTCACGTATTCTTTGGTCATCCTATCAATCTTTTATATTGATTTAGTTCAACCTATTTCAGTTCTGATGAGCCTTTTGAAGATGCTGTCTATCCAAAAGGAGATCCTGATGCTGTTACGATTCATAAGAGAGACATTGAGCTTCTAGAGCCTGAGAGATTCATCAATGATACCATAATTGACTTTTATATTAAGTAAGTTTAGGACATCTTTTTTTTTATTCATTAAAGTAAGGTTAAGATATCTTAATATAATCTTGATCAGTTGGGGTCAGGTAAAAACGGTTCCCTGCCGATATTTAGGGCGCGTTTGGAACTCGTTCCAAAATGATTTTGTTTTTTGTATGAAAATAAAAATGAAAACGTTTTCAATCTCAGACAGAAATCATTTTTGAAAATGCGTTTAGTAGTTTTATCAAGAGATTGTTTTCAATATAAAAAAACCCATTAATGTCTTTCTCTCTCTCTCTCTCTGCTCGAGAGAGGAGAAAACAAAAACAAAAAATGAAATTTCTCTCATTTTACACTAAACCAAAAAATCGTTTTCATTTCCGTTTTTTGTCTTTATTGCGCCAAACGCCGTTTTGGAAACGTTTTCATTTTTTCTTTCTCGAAAAACGTGAAAAATAAAAACGGGATCAATTCCAAACACGGCCAATATCTCCATTTTTTTTATCCGCTTTATTGGAAACCTTGCGTTAGATAAATAAGAGAAAATAATTTAACTTGTAATAGTCACTATTGGATTTTATTTACTTCTTTTAATATAGTTTGTGCAAAACAATTCCTAACCCTAGGGGAAATCTGTTTTTACATTGGAAAATGATCTAGTTATTTCCATTTTCAGAAAATTGGATTTTTTTATGATAGACGTGGTTTGAACTGGCCATATGCTTAAATATTTTATTGAAAGCCCGACAAAAACAATTAAAAGCTCGACATGCAAAACTTGGAGAAATTGGTAATGAGTTGGCACAGGTTGGAGCTTAGATTGCTCATTTTGATACTATGTCACAAAATCCCTTAATACAATACACATGGACTTGGATATGACATGGAGTGAAAAAGGCCAGCATTTGAACATTTTCATGTGGGTTGCAAGGCTTGAATTGAGGAGTTGCTATATTAAAGAACCATTTGCATCAAAAGCTTTTAGCTATTAAGATGTGGGTTGATATTGGTTTTTATTTTGTTATACTAAATGGCTTTTAGATTTTGGAAGTCTGATTATGGTTCTTGCAGATATTTGGCAAACGGCATTCAAACTGAGGAAAAGCACAGGATGTATTTTTTCAATTGTTTTTTCTTTCGGAAGCTTGCAGATTTAGACAAAGATCCATCAAGTGCTCATGAAGGCAAGGCAGCATTTCAACGCGTCAGTAAATGGACAAGAAAAGTCAATCTTTTTGAAAAGGACTACATATTCATTCCTGTAAATTATAGGTGAGAAAGTATATTGGAGATATATAGTGCTTAAAGCTCTCAAGGATTGTCCTTATGGACCTGTGGTATTGCTTTCTAATGTGAATTATTACTATATCCTAATCCCGGTCACAGTCTTCATTGGAGTTTACTTGTCATCTGCTATCCCGGTGAAGTGCCTAATTTCAAAGGCAAGAATTTATAAGTTTATATTTGAATGAACTTGTACCTTTTTTTCCTTTACGAAACCTCTCTTAGCTTAGTTTATGTTTTCATTGTCTTTAGATGAAGAATTTGAAAGTGCATCCAAGGTACCGTGCATCTTGCATATGGATTCTATTAGAGGAAGTCACAAAGGCCTCAAGAATCTCATACGAGGGTAGACTTTTAATATTTCTGCTGTTAAGTCCACTAAAAAGTTGCAATATATCTGGTGAAAATAATATTCCTGTTTCTGAAATTTATAGCTTTTGGATCATAATCCCCCCTTTACAAGTGCTGAAAATGTATAAAGTTTTATGTACCGTTGGTTGCTTTTTTCTTCAGCTTTGCAAGTTGAAAGACAACAATCAAGACTTAGCTTTCATAAGAAGGGATTCGGGAATACTTATATAAGACTTAGCTTAAATTTCCTAAAAAGTACATTTACTCTGTTCATAACTGCAGAAGTTTTAGATTCAAAACTCAAGGTCGAAGTTGTTTATATATTGTTCCATTTGGCATTTATGTTTTGCTTCGTGACGATTCTATATATGGCTTGCCATGCCCATATTCACGCTGTGTTTTCTATAGCATACCATATAAGCACTAATCTCGTGAGGTAAATCTTTTTTAAGATTTGGGAATAGAAACAACATTTTTCTTCTTTTTACAGTTTTAGGGTGAACTAACTATCCTCCCTCAATTGAGACTGATTTTTTTTTTTTTTTTTTTTTTTTGTGTAAATCAATTTATACCGGCTTTGACTGTGTTTTCTTTCATCATGTCTGTGATGAGATTGCAGTTACCTATGTGAAGAATGGAAAGTGAGGCATCATGCTACAACAGAAGATGCTTCATCAAGTTTTCTACATATGAAATTTGTTCCACTTAAGGTATTTATAGTTCATCAAACTTTCTACTTCTTACTTTTTTCATCCCTTGTTGAATTCCTTCTGTATGAAGACAGTTTTCAATTAAACATAGTTCTTTATAGTGGCTTTTTAAGCTTGAGCAAACAGATGATCCGTTTCATCGTCTCCAGAGGAAAATGTCATCTTTTTAGTCATACTTTCTTATATAAATCTCTAGTCTCTTGCAATGGATGGCTTATTGCTATTGTGTGGAGCGATGGTGACAAGTTATGATTCCCTGAAATTCACTTCGACTCTCAAGTACTTCAAATCCTTTCACAGGCATCTAATATTTGTCATCAAATAGATCTTACCCACTAAGATTGTAACCCAACTTATAAGAAATATTATCTCCAACTTTTCAATGCAAAACGAATTTCATTGTCACACTGCTAATCGTTTAATAAAGAAAACACATGCATCTCAGTTGACATATGCAAAGCTCCATTAGAGAAGCTAATTTAAATTGGAATTTAGCAATCATTTTCAATTGCTTTAAAGTTCTTGATGCTCTACGCCTCTCCTCTCTATTTCTCTCTCTCAATTGTTTTTAACTGCTTTAAAGTCCTTGATTTCTTTCGTGCACACGCCTATTAATTGACAATGCTTATTGACTGTAGATTTTTTTTTTTTTTTTTTTTTTTCATTCTTCATCAGCTTCCACAACAGGAAAATCTATTTGACTGTGGCCTTTTCTTGCTCCATTATGTAGAGCGTTTTCTGGAGGAAGCTCTTAACTTCGGCCAGTTTAACCTCACAAAGTTCTCCAACTCCGTAAGCAATCTCATTTCTTTCCAGGGAAACATGAGCATAATTTATATAATTATAGCTAATGTTTTTTGATTAACGGTGATGAAATGATTGATCCAACAACTTTGTTGTGTTTAGTTGTGAACTAGGCTATTAGGACAATGTTGAAAATTAATTTTGTTTTATTTTATTGTTCTAAATTTATATTGTTACTTGTACAGCTTTTTGACCTTACCTTTACTTACTCTTGTTAGTTGGGCTGCAGAAAGGGAATCATGATTTTTCGAGTTAAACTGATCATGTTGTCTCCTTTACCTTTGAATACTAATAAGTTTTCGCTCAAATGGAAACTGGGCCCTGCACTTATTTCATAGCACAAATTGGGAGACAGCCACATGACCATAAATTCTTTCAAACTTCAAAGGCTTCCTGCCATATTTTCTTCTAGTTGCGTGATTTAGGAGTTGATGGCCATACGCTTTGATATATTGAACTGTAGGATATCTTGGACCATAGTTGATAAAGAAACCGTGTTGACAGCCATCTAAATTAGCCTTTTTGTGTGTGTGTGTGTGTGTGTGTTCTCAATCGCATTGACTTTTTGTCTATATCAAGAAGCATTGATAAATTACACACATGTTGACAATGTTCCAGTTAAGCAGCAATTGGTTCCAACCTGAAGAGGCTTCTCGTAAAAGATATTCAATCAAGAAGTTAATATATGAGATCCTTCAAGATCATTCTCAGAGCACTGGAGCTGATGGCAGTAACAGATATCCTTGTGCAGTACCCACTGGAACAAGTGAACAAGAAACCAAAGTAATATTTCTTGAGAAGATAAGCAGTTCAACAAAAGCGTGTTATGGCATTTCTTCTACTTCCAATGTTGAACAAGTTGGGATCTCTTTGTCAAAAACTGCACTTGCAAGAGACTTTAGAGAATCAGGCTTGGGTTCTAAGTTGTTTGAAGCAGTAGATTGTTCCTGGTTGTATACTGATGCGAATTACCTGCAGTTGGATTCTCCTTGTCATAGGAGCACCATGACACCAATAGAGGTAATTATTTGTGTTATTTGCATTAACGGCAAGAAGAATTTCTTCTACATCTAAATAGACCTCTTTCAGTCTTGGTTTCTCTTATCATGGTTAATGATTTTTTAAGAAACAAAATTTACTGATATTCATATGGATATGTACTAAGAATCTGAGGATAAGATATCCTTAGAGAAGATTTGAAAGAAGCATAAAACAGTGAGAAACTAATGACCCAATCCATCCTCCCAGCAAACAATAATTAGAAACCGGGAAATCCTTACATCTGTTGAAGCTCAGCGAAGTAAACATGGTTATTATTGGTGTGCCTTGAATAGGCAATACATCTCTGTATGGTCCCCACTTGAAAATCATCATGCATTGTGAGCATGGATGAAATACAATTAGTTTATACCAGTGTTTGGCGCCTCAACTTTGGAAATTGAGAGTTCATCTGCGCCTAAATGATTGCAAATTTACCGCACATTAGTTTTTACACTAGAGTTATGCTGCTCCACGTGCATTTTTTTATGATAGCTTTTGGGTTATTAGTAATCTTGTCAAACCAACTAAAAGATGTACGCTTTTGTTTCCTTACAAACAGGAAGTTGTAGAAAGTAATGAGAAAGTTGCGGAGTCACCTGTTGACATGGAAGATTGTCAGCAAATAGCTGAATTGGAGACACTTGGGAAGCACGAAATCTCCGTGGGTCTAAAGAAACTTGATGAGAGGGTTTTAGTTTCTAGCAGATCTACTGGATCCCTGACCTTGGCAGGGGTAGGAATAAATATAGTTCACCCAACGCAGGATATCGACGGATTTGACAATTTGGCAGAACCAGAAAAACAGGAATCTTCTTCAACCTCATGTAAGGAACTTGCTCATTGTGTTGTACCAGATTCTGAAGAGGAAGATAGCGAGCATGATAGCAATGATGTCAAGTACATACCTTTTATCTGTATGCAGAACGGCCTTGTTCTATCCACCCAAGAGGACCAGTCAAATGAAAATATCATTCTGAACGGAAATAATCTGCCAACAAACAATGAGGATACAGTGTCGAAATCAGATGAAGTGAAGCCTGTGAAGAGGCGAAAATTCAAGCCTCCTTAAGATGGAAGGCCATTCACTAGAGTTCTCTGAAAAGCATACACCTTTGACAGTAGTGTATATAATAGTTTGTATAGTTTTTTAAGTTCTAATGGAGTTCCGAAGAAAAGTGCTAATGTAGGTTTAAAGTGAGTATAGAAACCAACCCTTAAATAGGAGGGAAGAAATCTTAATAGTTTTTTAAGTTCTAATGGAGTTCCGAAGAAAAGTGCTAATGTAGGTATAGAAACCAACCCTTAAATAGGAGGGAAGAAATCTTTAAAAAAAAAATGGAGTTTACTGATCATCTTTGTTTCTGGATACTAGAAGGGCCTTTTCTAATTCCCGTCAAAGGCTTAGGTTACCATGTAGCCATGATTGAAAGCAACTTTTTTTTGTTCATCATGGTTTAGTGCTAAATATTGTTCCAACTCTTTCACCTATGTATAACTATTGCCAGCCCTCTTGTTATTTTTCTTGGTTGTTACGATTCAGTTAAGCTACTTTGCATTTTAGTTCTTGCCGTATAGGTTAGACAATAATGTAATTGCAAATTGGGTAAGTTTGTCCCTGAAACCCAGCCCCATCTCGAACTTAGACACGCCCTCAACTGCCACCTTCAATTGACCATCAGTGCGCCCCAAAACCCACCTATTAAGGCCGGGACCCAACAAGAGATGGCACCGGACTCCGGTCCTTTGTAACGAAACTGTTGAGCAGCACACAGAAAATTGAGACTAATAAAATTGGAGGCCAAAGTTGAGAGATGTTAATTGTGCCGGTTTGTTTAAATTAGGCCTATATATGGGGTTCATATATGTTTCGTGATATGTTGGGCCCAGTCTATTTAATTTTTCGTGACATCAAGCCTGGCTCACAATCCATTTTAATGTGGGTCGTACCCTTAAGTTGTTTGGGCAGTATTTGCACTCTTATCATGCTGATGCTTTTATTTTACTTTTTATCATGCTATTAATGTGTTTGTTGAGCGAAATAGAAATTTACAACAAACATAAGAACATAAGCATTGAACATAATTTAAACATTACAAATCTTAATAAAAGAAAGCACATTATTAATTAATAAATTCCTCATTAAAAATTTTACTAAAGCAAAAGCCATTGAGTAAAATATAGATAAAGAAAAAGAGTGCAATTATAAGTTTTATAAAGAAAAGGGAAATAGGTTTGATTAAAAGGGTAATAAAAACAAATAGACCAAGGTTTACAATTAGTTAGTAAATAGGCCTAATAAGTGTAAATTCATATTTACACTAAATTAACATTTCAAAAACTCTCCTAATTAAAAAAGGAAATGAAATTCTAAAATTTACTCTGGCTCTCCCTCCACGCTCTCTCTATATCACCTCACTCTTTACACTGTAAATCCAGGATTTATAAATAAAAACAATATGTGTTCTGATGGTAAATTGTAGATTTACACTACGAAGGAACATAAATCGTGTTGATGGTAAATTCTAGATTTACACTGTAAATTTAAGATTTACGAATAACAAAATATGTGTTATGATGGTAAATCTAAGATTTACTGTATAGTAAATCTTATATTTAAGAGCAAAACTTAAAAAATGTTTATCACATTGAGTAACAATAAATCTTGGATTTACCGTGTAAATCTAGGTTTTACGAATAAACACAGTATGTGTTTGGCTGGTGAATCCCAGATCTAACGCGTAAATTCAAGATCTACGAAGGAACATAAATTGTGTTATGATGGTATATTCTAGATTTTCAGGATTTATGAATAACATAATATGTATTTTTATGGTAAATACTGAATTTACGGTACGTAAATTCTAGATTTACGAGTAGAACCAAAAGATGTTTACCTTGTATTAGTAAATTTCTGAATTTACCATGTAAATCCAAGATTTACAAAGGAATAGAAATTGTGTTTTGATGGTAAATCCTACATTTACACTATAAAAATTCAAGTTTTACGAAGAAATACAATATGTGTTCTAATGCTAAATATTAAATTTACATTGTAAATCATAGATTTACGATTGCAATGAGAAAGAGAGAAAGTAAACTCACGAACGACGGATAAAGAGAAAATAGAGAAAATGAGACCTAAAGGGAAAGATTTTGGAAAGAGAAAGAAAAAGAGTAAAATTAGAAAATTCAAAATTCAAAACATAAAAAGGCATATTAATTTCTATACATTAATAAATTGGTTATTTACTAATATAAATTTTAAATATAGACCTATATTTAGAATTTCCCTCTAAAGAAATACATAACAAAATTAGTTTGGAAACTCATAGTTTATAGACCAGAGGTGTAAGTTTAGGCTGCCCGACCCAAAGAGAAATTTTTTAGGCTTAGGACCCGGCTAAGCCTAAAAAATTTAATGTTTAAGCTGGGCCGGGCCGAGCCGGTCTTAAAGGAAAGAGAGTCGGCCTAGCCTGACTCTAAGCCCAAAAAAATTTAAGATCGGACCGGACCTGTTATGAGGGAAAATATGGGGGACACGTGGAGGGAGGACAACATGACACGTGGCCTTAACCTCTCCTCGCAAAGCAACAACCCTCGACGTCTGGGACCCCCTTCCCTCCCGTTGTTAAGAGCCCGAGTAAGAAGCCCGACTTGGGGCGTCGATTTCATCTGACGTCGACAGGTCGTACCGTCGACCTTACAACATAGAAATCTATCGCCAAGAAGAACAATTGGGCTAAACAACACTGGCAACGAGGGGAATGCTCCTTGGGGGAAAGCCTGACGTGGCAAGCTGCGTAAGGGATGTCCGCAGTACAGGCATTAAATGCAAACCCTTAAACCGCCCCTACGGGGGACAGAAAAGGGTTACAGCTGTGCACAGAGCCGTAATGGGAGACTAATTGGCTGAGTGAACAATGCGCAAGAAGTGATTAGTGGGCTACGAGCTGGGCCTAGAAAGGCAGACTAATTGAGTGCCTGTTCAGCCTACACGAGAAAACCCCTCCAACGAAGGAAGCTCAGCTATAAAAGGAGAGAAACCTCATACGGAAAAAAAGTTGATCTTTCTTGAGAAAAAAGAACGAGAGAGCAATTTGTAAATTGTAACAATCTCAAAAGGAATAAACAACCACAGTGGATGTAGCTATTCATTTTATAAGAGTGAACCACTATAAACCCTGTGCGTTTTTCTACTTTAAGTATTTTTTCTTATATTGCTCACTACACAAAAAATACCACAAACACCTTCGGCACAATACTTTTACATATAATTTCAATTAAAGCCAGTAATCTGACGGGAAACCTGGAGGTAACCCGGCTCGTTTTTGTTGACGAAAATTCACCGTCAACAATTGGCGACTCCACTGGAGAACGAATGCATTGGACCCCCAACAACAACAACGTAGTCAGCAAGCATGCCTCCGAGAAGAATAATTGAGGCCATCAACCAAGGCATCCAGATGGAGGAGACCGACACTCATCCGGTGAATGACAGGGTGGAGGAGGTTCCACCCCCGGCCAGAAATGAGGTCCCGCCCCTAGACATACCGCGGCCGGATCCTGTGCAGATGCAGGCCCAACTAGCCACTTTAACTGATCTGGTACGTGGACTAATGACCGTGGTCGAACACTTGGATGGAAGAAACTCTATGCCACCCTTAGAAGACGCCCCGAGACCGCTGGGACCTGCCATGGCTGAAAACCCCAACCCCGGTGACCGCCCACATATCTTAGAAGAAATCAGGGATAATGATAATCAAAGGGGCCAGCCTAGGCCCCGACCTTCCCACTCCTCCGGCAGCCGTTTAAGGGCTTCCGGACTCTGGGCTCCGGAGGACCCGATACTAAGAGGCCGGGGAAACCCCGAAGTATTGCCCCAGAACCCAGGAAGAACCCACCGGGAGACTCAGGGTTAGTGCAGGCGGGCGGGCAGGCAAGAGGCAAACCCAGTGGTCAAAGGGCAGAGGCATCGAGAGTAGCTGGCTCGGCCATCTCAACAGAGGAGGCACGCGCCATCATGGAGCGCATGGCCAGCCTGGAGCAAAAACTCACAGGGGACATAGCAGGCCTGAAAAAGAACATAGGGTGAGTGGCTGAGGTGGTAAACGTCGACATCACACCTAGCCACACACATGACCACCCATTCACCGAAGAGATAATGGCGCCACCTCTCCCCGACAAATACAGGCCGCCGTCGATCCCACCATATGATGGTCGAGGGGATCCCGATGATCATTTAGAAATGTACATAGGGCACATGCTCTTACACGGGTATGCCGAGGAAATTATGTGCCGAGCTTTCCGGAACCATTTAACAGACTCGGCCCGAAGGTGGTTTCGGACGCTGAGGCCAAATTCTACCGCAAGCTGGGATGCGTTGAAGGAAGCATTTTCCCTCCAATTCATAGGGGTTAAAAAATATGTCCCCCCAAAGCAGAACCTGATGACGATATACCAAAAGCCGAACGACTCATTGAGAGAATGGCTTGCGAGGTATGGGGAAGCTGTCGCCGCCACAATGGATATAACTGACAGAGAGGCCTCGATGGGGGCATTATCTAGTATGAAGAAAATTACTCCCTTCAAGAGAGAGCTGAACCGAAATCCCCCGTCCAGCTACAAGGAATTTCTTGCGCGAGCGCAAGGATACATCAACGCCGAGGAGGCAGATGCAAATGACCCCGAGCACAGGTCCAACAAGAACAAAGGGACTGAACAAGGGTCGACGCCAGCAAAGCAGGATGGGAAGAAGCGTCGAGGTGGAAGAAGCGGAGACAAGCAGCCAGCTGCGACGTCGAGTGCTCCGGAAGCCAAGAAGCCAAGGCAAGAGGAGAACCGTAAGCCTCGGCTATTTCAAAGGTACGATTCCTACCACGAACTGACAGTAGGAGTCGAGGAGGTCTTCAATCAGGTCGGCCGCAGAAATCTACTGCGCCGCCCAGTGCCGATGAGGACAGATCCCAGCCGAAGGAACCAAAAGAAATTCTGCAGGTTCCACGGTGATGTCAACCACCACAGCAACGATTGCACCGACCTCAAGGATGAAATCGATAGAGTAATCTGCGAGGGAAGGCTACAGGAGTTCAAAGCTGAATGGAGACCTCGAAACGATGGCTACGGTGGGCAAAATGACGGTCGACGCTGAGAGGATAACCAGCGTCCAGAAGACCGAGAACCTGTCGGCGTCATACGAACTGTCCTCGGCGGCCCCTATATAGGAGGAGACTCAAGAAAATCCCAGAAGGACTACACCCACGAGGCCAGAGGGGTTTACCAGGAAATATTCTGGAGTGTCTCCGCTGCAAAAACCCCAAGATATAGCAGTGCCGACGTGGCGTTTAACGAGGACGACGCCAGCGGAGTTCACTTCCCCCACAACGACGCATTAGTAGTGGAAGCCATGATTGGGAACCACACTATATGCCGAATCCTGGTAGACAATGGGAGCTCGGTGGACCTCCTTTACTCTGACTGCTTGGAAAAGATGAGGATCTGAAAGGAGCAGTTGGAGAAAACCTCTAGGCCATTATACGGTTTCACCGGGGACTCCGTCATCCCTCAGGGGACTATCCGGTTGCCCATAACCGCCGGAGAAAAACCCCGACAGACCACGACAATGGCCAACTTTGTGGTAATAAAGGGGGGCTCTCAGTACAATGCTGTAATCGGGAGACCGGCCCTTCAGGCGCTAAGGGCAATAACCTCCGTCTACCACCAGAAGGTGAGGTTCCCTACTCCAAACGGCGTAGGTGAGATGAAGAGCAACCAGTACGAAGCTAGGGTTGCATATTCTGATACCCTCCGTGGATACGACCAGCCAAGGCGACAGGAGGCCAGGATGGTCTATAAAAACACTGTTGAAGACATAGATCCCAGGGTTCAAGAAGAGGTCACGTGGTTGCAACCCATCGAGCAATTGGTGGAGATCCGAGTTGATGAAGGTGGGCCAACCAAAGTACTGAAAATGGGCTCAGGCCTAGCCCCCTCACTCAAGATCGAGGTCGAAGACTTCTTCAAAAAGAACTTAGATGTCTTCACCTGGAACCATGCCGACATGGAAGGGATCGACGCCGAGGTTATATGTCACTCCCTGAACGTTGATCCCTCATATCCTCCCAAGTGCCAGAAGCGTCGACCAATGAACCCAGAGAGGTATGAGGCGCTGAAAGAGGAGGTCGACAAGTTGATCAACAATGGGTTCATCAGGGAGGCCCATTACCCGCATTGGGTCTCGAACCCCGTTTTGGTGGTCAAGCCTAATGGGAGCTGGAGGACGTGCGTCGACTTCAGCGATCTCAACAAAGCCTGCCCGAAGGACGACTTTCTACTCCCTCGAATAGACCAGATGGTCAACGCCACAGCAGGGCATGAAATACTGAGTTTTATGAATACCTACTCTGGGTACAACTAGATCCCCATGGATCCAGCCGATGAGGAGCATACATCCTTCATAACCAACAGGGGCCTCTACTGCTACACGGTAATGCCCTTTGACTTAAAGAATGCGGGGCTACCTACCAAAGGCTCGTGAATAAGATGTTCACTCGGCAGCTCGGCAAATTAATGGAGGTCTACGTCGACGATATGCTTGTGAAAAGTGCCAGGGCCAACCAACACGTCGACCACTTGGGTGAAATGTTTGGTGTATTAAGGAAATACCACATGACACTAAATCCCCAAAAATGCGCCTCTAGAGTTAGGTCAGGGAAGTTCCTTGGTTTCATAGTCAACAATCAGGGGATAGAAGCTAACCCTGAAAAGATTAAAGCCTTGCAGGATATGCGGTCCCCGACTAAACCCAAAGAGGTACAGAGGTTGATAGGATGCGTCGCCGCCTTGAACAGATTTATATAAAAGGCAACAGACAAATGCGTCCCCTTCTTCGATGCTTTGAAAGGAAGTAGGCGTTTTGAATGGACACCACAATGTGAAGAGGCCTTCCATAAATTGAAGGAGCATTTAGGCAAGCCCCCAATCCTGTCAAAACCCAACCCCGACGAGGAACTTAGCCTCTACCTTTTCGTGTCTCAACACGCCATAAGCTTCATACTAATTAGGGAAGAAGAAATGGTACAGTTGCCAATTTACTATGTAAGCAAAAGACTCCTCGACGCCGAGTCAAGATATACCGAAATGGAACGTCTGGCCCTCGCCCTGATGGTAGCTTCAAAGAAGCTTCGGCAATATTTCCAATCTCACACAATATGGGTTCTCACAAACCATCCGTTGAGATAAGCGCTACAAAAGCCCGAAACTTCTGGTCGACTTCTCAAATGGTCGGTAGAGTTAAGCCAGTTCGACATTAAGTATGTACCGAGAACAGCGATCAAGGGCCAAGCGCTGGCCGATTTTCTGGCCGAATTCTCCCATAGACCGGCTCCCGCCAAGACAGAAAAAGTTGAGAGTACAGAATGGAAGCTCTACGTGGATAGAGCGTCGAGCGATAACGGATCAGGAGCCGGCGTCTTGTCGATCAGCCCATAAGGCCACAAGATTACCTCGGCGGTTCGATTTAAATTTAAGGCGTCGAACAACAAGGCGGAATACGAGGCGCTGATTGCAGGGTTGCGATTGGCCAATCACCTAAAGATTGATAGGCTCAGCATCTTCAGTGACTCTCAATTGGTCGTCGGGCAAGTGAAAGAAGAATACCAAGCGCGCGGTAAGAGAATGGGTGCGTACTTGAGAAAGGTGAAGGAATAACTCGTCAAGTTCAAAAAATACGAGATACTTCAAATACCACGAGCCGAAAATGCAAACGCCGATGCTCTATCGAAGCTAGCATCTTCAAAAGATTTCGACGCACTAGGGGTCGTTCCCATCGAGGAACTGGAGCGGCCAACCATTGAGGAAGTAGCTGAGGCACTAATCGTCCAAATAGGTGAAAATTAGATGACGCTACTCGTCCAATACCTGATGGATGCACAACTGCCAAACAATAAAGACGAAGCCAGACGGATCAGGTATAGAGCCGCCAGATACTTATTGTACGACGGTTTGCTTTACCGACGAGGCTATTCAACACCTCTGCAGCAGTGCTTGGATGAAGACGAAGCCCAAAAGGTCCTCCGAGAGATCCATGAAGGAGTCTGCGGTAATCATACTGGAGGGCAGTCTTTAGCTCTTAAGGTTCTGAGGCAAGGATACTACTGGCCCACGCTCAAAAAGGACGCTTTCCAATACGCCCGACGTTGCGATAAGTGCCAAAGGTACGTCACAATTCCTAGAGCACCCCCAGAAAATTTAACCTCCATTCTCAGTCCATGGCCCTTCGCCAAATGGGGGGTTGACCTAATCGGGCCATTACACCTCACACCCGGGGGCTTTAAACATTGTGTGCAGGTTCGGGGTCCCCCACTCGATAGTATCCGACAATCGAAAACAGTTCGATAATGCCTCAACACGAAGATTCTACGACAGCTTGGGCATTCGAAAGGATTTCTCGGCGCCGATACACCCACAATCTAACGGGCAAGTCGAAGCAGTCAATAAAATACTAAAGTATACCCTGAAGAAGAAGCTCAACGATCTAAAGGGAAAATAGGCCGAGGAACTCCCCAAGGTCTTGTGGGCATACAGAACGACGAGCTGAAGCACCACGGGCGAAACGCCCTTCTCCATGGCATATGGCGTCGAGGCAGTACTGCCCATAGAAATTGAGACGCCGACTCTAAGAACTGTGGTCTACGACGACGACGGTAATACGGAAGGCATGAATGGAGAACTCGACCTATTAGAAGGAAAAAGGCTCGACTCCCAATTACGCCTTGCCGCTTACCAACAGAGGGCAGCCTGAAATTACAACAAAAAAGTCAAACAACGAAGGTTCGCCCCAGGAGACCTAGTATTAAAAAGGGTAACACAAAGTACAAAACCCAAAAATACTGGTCCTCTGGGCCCAACTTGGGAAGGACCCTACCGAATAAGAGAAGTATTGCGGCCCGGCACCTACATCTTGGAAAGCCTCTCCGGCAAAAAGGTTCAGCATCCATGGAATGCAGAACAGTTAAAGCTGTACTACCAATAATGTATGTAGTTTTTTAAACGCATCTTAGTTACATTTTTGGCAATTTAAATAAATTATGAACTTATAGTAATATTGTCCAAAAGTAAGAAGAATTCACCCCTCAAATAAACTTGTATGCTTAAAAAATTAAGGTATATTAAATAGACAAGGGGGGCAATAAGGGATTTACGGATCACCGGCAAAAGAACTTAGAAAATTTTATGAAATTTTCTAAGGCGACGACCCCAAGGGGCAAAAGCTAGCGCCGACTCTTCCAAGAAAGAAAGGCGAGGAAAAACTTAGAAAATTTTACGAAATTTTCTAAGGCGACGACCCCAAGGGGCAAAAGCTAACGCCGACTCTTCCAAGGAAGAAAGGCGAGGAAAAACTTAGAAAATTTTACGAAATTTTCTAAGGCGACGACCCCAATGGGCAAAAGCTAACGCAGACTCTTCCAAGGAAGAAAGGCGAAGAAAAACTTAGAAAATTTTATGAAATTTTATGAGACAACGACCCCAAGGGGCAAGGGAAACAATGAGCAAGGTATGAAATCTAATGTCAATCTATTGCCTTTTTATAAAACACAAATGAAATAAAAAGAGGTTCAAACCAATGTCATATTAGTTACAGACAGCAGTAAAAAAATAATAATAATAAATAAATAAAATAAATCTTCAGGCCCCCCCCCCACCCGCCGAGTCATCACCAGGCGGGGAAGAGTTGTCATCGCTAGCAGGAGGAGGAGCATCTTAAAGGAAGCCCAAGTCCCACTCAGGATGCTCTTGTTTTATCAAATCGATGATTTGTTGACCAGCGGATTGAAAATCCTTGGTACGAATGTCGATAAGCTCCGAAGAAGCCTTGAACTCCTCAATAATCTTTGCATGTTTGGCATCGAAAACTGCTGCAGCCTTGGCTTCAACTTCTTTCTTCCCCTCAGCCTTTCCCTCAGCAAAACGTCTCTTCACCGCCTCAGTTGCTTCTGCCAACTTCGTCTCATATGTATCTACCTGCTTGGTAAGGTCCTCAACCGAGGCGGTTAGCTTAGCCAATTTATCTTCCAAACTCTTCAATTTGGCCACGGCCATATCTCTCTCCTCGGCGGTGTTCGCACACTTAGTCTTAGCATCATCGAGAAGAGAATTAAGCTCGGCCTTTACGATGTCCATCTCTTTATCCCGCTCCTCAACCTTAACTAGGTCGAGAAGGTTGAGAATGGCGAGGATTAGGCCCTGAAAAATTGGAGGTCAGAAAATAAGGATACAGAGCAGCGAAACCAGCAAAAATAAAAGGCAGCTCGATCAAGTCTTACGTGAATTTGGAAAGAGATCTTCTTTCGCTGGCGATCGACCAAAGACGATTGAGTGGCAGCAACCCAGTGTGGCTCGAGAAAAGACTCATATAGAGCCTGGAAGACAAGGGAGAAGTTTCAGCATCGCCCCAATCTCGGCGTCAGAAACGTCCGGGACTTGGAAATTAGGATCCATAATTTTTGCCCCCGAGATAAGCACGCGTTCCCTCGGCGCCAAAGGAACGTTTACGTCAGGAATGGAGACCGTCGGCGTCCAAGTTTCTACCACCGGCGTCTTCTCTTTGCGCCTCTTTTTTAGCGCAGGATCATCCTCCGACGCCGAGGGAACCTTTGAGGCTTTTCTTTTCCTCGGCACCTGAGAAGAAGAGCGAGCTTTCTCCTTTCCTCTAGAAGGAGGTTGTTGGCTCGGCGGGGGCTGCTGGCTTGACTCAGACGGCTGACTGCCGGGAAGCTAAATCCTCAAAGACGCCATTTCTACAAAAAATGACGAGACAAAAATATAGTCGACGCTTGGATAAACAAAGTGCCATTATAAGAAAGGCGACGGGAATGGGGGTTTACCTTCGTCGCTCAAATGGAAGTACTCACGGACAGCGTCGAGGTCAATAGGGTCTGGGAGATCGAGAATTAACCCAGCACTTCGAAGGTTGGCCTGGGTCAGGAGGGTGTCAATATGGCGAACCTCGGACGAGAACGAGAAGGCCTTCTCAATCCTCGCCAAGCTGTTTCCAGAAAACTTCGGCCGGTCTTGACTGACTGTAGGATAAAAAGACTGTCAGCATAAGAAGGGAGAAAGCGAGGTAAGGTGAAAGAAAGGGAATCAAAGTCTCACCCATGTTCCCAAACGACGCTTGCACCTTCCTTCGGCGAGGCAAGTAGTCGTTGGGATGGAAGTTAAAGGGTCCACGTATCATAAAAAACATGAGTTTCCACCCATGTGACGACGAGGGAATGCCCAATATCAACTTGCCAAATCTGGGCTGAGATCTCCCATGCCCACTCAGGAAATACCACCCCTCGCACTTGGCGACATGGCACAGTCTGTACATGAATCTAAACTCATCCAGAGAAAGATCCATGTCAAACTGCTAGTTCCACAAAATCCAAGCGCCAGCAAAGCAGTACCAAAAATTTGGCGCCAATTGGGCAGGGGAAATGCCATAAAACTGGCAATAATCTTTTACAAAGGGATGAACCGGAAGGGTCATCCCCGCAGTAACGGCCCTGGTATAGACAGGGAGGTATCCGGTCGGCGGCATACTAGTCCTAAAATGCATGTCTGGGAGGAGGTATTCGAACCACCTCCCGTCAATGCATCATTCCTTCACCGCCCGGATGATGTCCTTATTTCGGACTCTCGACGCCACAGTGTCAGCTGTGAAGGAAGGCCGATCCGGGTCTCCACTTGTAGCAGCTAGCGGGGCATCCACCAGAGAAGCGGCGACCCCACACACGCTGCCACTTGTAAAAGGCCTCATATCGACATCTTCATCGATCATTCGGCAGACGCTGTCATATGTATCGCTACCATCGTCGCTTGGGCCGGCCATATGTTCCTCGACTTCCCGCAACAGTGAGTCGCAGCCCGACGAGGAAGATGACCATGAAATCTCTGCCACAGAAGGGGAGTCTGGTCGTACAACAGACGGTTCCTCTCGACGGGTGTTTTTTGAGGCCATTGTTCTGGTAATAAAAAAGACAAGAAGCTACATCAAAATCCTAAGTCAAGAGGAAGGAAAAAATGGCAGTTATTCTAAGCAACGACCATTCTAGACAACGATTGCTGAAACACCTCAACACAACGTCGATCATTCATATGAAAATGGTGACGACAAATGCTCGCGACAACCAAGGTTCACCAGAACCCAGGAGCCAGACTCGCATTCAACCAGGAAGCAGGAAAAACTACCCTATGTGGGTCGAATAAAGCATAAAAAGCTACTGTCTTCTACATTTCACATATCAACACCTATGATTCACTGGGAAAGCCAGTAAAATCATCCGGCAACGCAAAAAAGCAACGATTAAAGCTTACCGATGAGTTGGAGTCTGGACGGAGTTTTGAAACCGAGTAACTTCACGATGCACCAAAGGAAGCAGGGAGCACAAGTCGGAGATTCACAGGGAGAAATTCAGGCAGAGTAACAGCGGTTCTAAGGAATTTGTTTGGAAAGAATGACTTCGGTTTAGAGGATATTTAAAGAAAAACAGGTCCTCGACCCCTGATCGTCAGATAAAGCTTATGGAGATCCAACGGAAGGGGTAATTTTCCCAGATCGAACGACAGCAAAGCAAAGGCGGGAAAATGAAGGGGCGCGATCTAAGGGCTCATATACGTCCTTTCGAAATAAGGCCTCACGTCAACATAGGGAAATGACCGACGCGACGGTTGCGTTCCTCAAGAAAATCTGAAGCATCTAGACCATCATTGCGGGCGAAGGCTCGGGACCGGTTTCCCACACCTAAAGCACGGAAGGACGACCGAACCTAAGCTCGAGGCTGTCTAAAAGAAGCCCTCGACCTGGGGGGTAGCTGTTATGGGGGAAAATATGGGGGACACGTGGAGGGAGGACAACATGACACGTGGCCTTAACCTTTCCTCGCAAAGCAACAACCCTCAATGTCTGGAACCCCCTTCCCTCCCGTCGTTAAGAGCCCGAGTAAGAAGCCCGACTTGGGGCGTCGATTTCATCTGACGTCGACAGGTCGGACCGTCGACCTTACAACATAGAAATCTACCGCCAAGAAGAACAATTGGGCTAAACAACACTGGCGACGAGGGGAATGCTTTTTGGGGGAAAGCCTGACGTGGCAAGCTGCGTAAGGGATGTCCGCAGTACAGGAATTAAATGTAAACCCTTAAACCGCCCCTACGGGGGACAGAAAATGGTTACAGTTGTGCACAGAGCCGTAATGGGAGACTAATTGGCTGAGTGAACAGTGCGCAAGAAGTGATTAGTGAGCTACGAGCTGGGCCTAGAAAGGCAGACCACTTGAGTGCCTGTTCAGCCTACACGAGAAAACTCCTCCAACGAAGGAAGCTCGGCTATAAAAGGAGAGAAACCTCATATGGAAAAAAGGTTGATCTTTCTTGAGAAAAAAGAACGAGAGAGCAATTTGTAAATTATAACAATCTCAAAAGGAATAAACAACCACAATGGATGTAGCTCTTCATTTTATAAGAGTGAACCACTATAAACCCTTTGCGTTTTTCTACTTTAAGTATTTTTTCTTATATTGTTCATTACACAAAAAATACCACAAACACTTTCGGCACAAAACTTTTACATATAATTTCAATTAAAGTCGGTAATCTGACGGGAAACCTGGAGGTAACCCGGCTTATTTTTATTGACGAAAATTCACCATCAACAGGACCCAAACTAACAATAACGAGCTTTAAGTCAGCCCTTTAGGTTCGGCCTCAACTTACAACTCTAAAATAGACAACATTAAAAACTTTTAAAAGTAAAGACCAATCAATAGAAATTAATAAGCCATTTTTAGTTCTAAATATTTTATTTTTCAATTCTACGGTTATTTATATATATGTCTCTCTCTAAACATGTTTCTATGTCCACTCCTACTTTTATCTCTCAACCTCTCTCTCTCGCTGGTTGCTCTCTCTCTCCTCCTCCCCCTCACTTCCCGTCTAGACAGTGCAGCTCCCCACCATCTCTCATTGCGGAGATCTGCTAGTCGTCGTGCGACAACACCGTCGCGGCGTCCTTGCGTCAAGGATATCTGAGCAGATCTGAGCCGCCGTCGTGGTCTCGGCAATGCTTCCATCACGCCGGCGAAAAGGAGGTTTTCTCGCACCATCTCTATCGTGGAGATCTGAGCTCTGTCGTGGTCGTGTAAAAATCGCCATCGCGACGACACCGGTTCCGCCTCATTGTTGTAGATTCACGATGGCCTTCGCGGTGCTGGGCCTCGCAACGGTGAGGTTAATCACTGCCTCTCGAGTCTCGTCGAAGAGAGAGAAGGAGCGATAGGGGAAGAGTCGAGAGGCTGGTATGATTCGAAGAGAGAGAAAGCAGGAGAAGGGAGAGAGAGAGAAGTTTGGGATAATAGTAGTATATAGACTGGGACATTTTTGTAATGTAATTAATTGGTAAATCCAGATTTACACCTAAATTACCTATTTACTTGATTATTTTTAAATCCTGACCTATTAGTTTTTATTATTCATTTAATTTGGCATATTTTCTTCCTTCTCCCAATTACTTTTATACTTTATAATCATTAATTGGACCCTTATTTTGCTTTTAACGCGTTATGTTTGTGCTCGTGTATAAGTGATTCGTGCTTAAAAATTACGCCGAGTTCTTAAAGTGCTTCATGTTTAAAAATTACGCCGAGTTCTTAGAGTATTTCGTGCTTAAAAGTTACATCAAACTCCGCCTATTTAATAAATGAGATGGGTTAGGTCCATTTAATAATCATGTCATGTTGTGTCGTAAACGTCCCATACTCGTATCCACCATCAAACCTAGCTCATTTTCACATCTCTAGGCCAAACTAATAAAAAAAATTGAGACTTTGAAACCAACCAAAGCAAATCCTAACATTAGTGAAAATTTTAAGTTTAATTATTGTTTTGTGCAACTTTATTATTTATGTCCAACTTCCACATCGTTTTCTTATTGTAGTTTTTTTCTTTCTTTTTTTTTTTTCATGTAACTTCTATCTTTCTTTTCAAGGACATGTAATCTTATGGAGAAAATTACCATCACATGATGTCTTGTTCAAGTAACGACACAATTAATAAGTCATAGAAAGAACCTCGCAAAAAACATAGAAAGAAACAACAAGCTGCCAATCGACAGCCTTTATTTTTGCATAAATCTCTTTTTTTTTATGTATATGTTATAAATTAATTATATGTGGATGCCACCCCTTAATATTCTATAACGGTTATAGATATTTTCTCATCTAGATTTCATTATCCTCCATTATTCTCCTCATAATATTAAGTATTATCTCAACATAATTTCTCTCTTTATATTTGATGTAACCTATGTCCTATCCTGTTACTTTTGTTTACAATCGTAGAGCTCAGAATCTACAATTAAATTTATTTACAGGGTTAATGACCACTTCTGATATCGACTATGATAGTGAATCGATCGAAGTCGGTTTGAGTTGATTGAGTGCTAGAACGAGAATGTAAAGTGCGGAAAAATAAATGAACACATAGCTCACCGTCAATGTGAATGCTACATCCACTGTAGGGTTTCGGAGTTTCACTATATCTTGTAAAAAAATACAATTAGAATGAGCGAAGAAAAGGAGAAGGGAGAAAAGAATTTAGAGAGAGAATCTAGAGAGGGAGAATACATAGAGAATGAGGTCTATATGTCATGAATGAGATGTCTAATTCGTGATCTTCATCCGTTTTTTATAGGAGAATGTTAGTTTTCCTTTTTTCTTTGAGTTAACTTTTGTCTTTCATTGTTTTTTTATTTGGTTTACGGCTACATTTCTCTTTTTTATCTTTATTGATTTGATTCGTGCTTTTAATGTGGGATTCTACTAGATTGAGTTTCATGACCTCTAACTCCAACGAATCTTCTTTCTTACTTTATCTACAGCGGTCTTCACAGATCTTCTATCATCGCGCTTTTTCAGTCATCTCGAGTCGATCTTATCTTCAGTCGACTTTCTTCTCCAATACTGTCCACGATGCTGATTTTGGCCCTAACCTTGACCTATAAATAGTGTACGTATGAGCATGTATTTGAACGGAAAGAATACAAAATGATACTTGATAGTTGATATTTCTTTTGTGTCTTTGCTTTATAGTTGATTTTTGTGCCATTTTCATTTATTTTATAACATTATATTAATTTTTTTTTTCTTTTTTGGAAAAGGATTCATTTCTTAATTATTTATTTATTATTTTGGCTAATAAAAACCAATAGAATATTGCATTCAGTTGCGACTTCCGGAGCTTCCCATTCTTTCTCTGTTCTCTGAACTCCGAGAGAGAGAGAGAGAGAGAGAGAGAGAGATGGGAGACGAAAGGGTAAAAACAGAAGCTATGCAGATAATTGGAATGTTTCAAGTCCTCCCGAGATTGATCGTCTTCGATCTCGATTATACTCTCTGGCCTTTCTACTGGTACCTACCCTCTTGTTTGCTTTCCGATAAAATCCACTAAAGAAATTCGTTTTTTCTTATGTTGGTCTTTATAAAAGCATCATAACCAACCAACCCAGATACGAGAATTTTGGATTTCTTTAGTTAATTCCAGAATCGGACCTTTTTTCACCACTTAGCATATTTTTCAATTTAATCTAATTTGCAGTTTTTTCTTCCTTAATTTTTTTTTTTAAAGTTAAAGACTTGCTATAGGTGATCAACACACACACACAAATTTATATTGTTTGTGGAAGTTTTTATGTTAACTTCGTTTATATCATTTTCCTCTTGTGATTTTTATTATCATTGCCTTTCTTCATTAAGAATTTGATTGTAATTATTATTTATTAGTGTTCATGTAATGGTCGTGTTAAATATAGAGTTTATTTTGTTATGCAATGCAACTTCTAAATTTCAGTGTCCAATAAGAAAGAACAGAGTAGGATTTATGCTAAAATTTGAGCATCTTCTGAATATTAATGCCTTTATGCTTTATATCCCTAATCATTTTGTTTTCTGCACAAGTGGTGATTTTTTCCTGTATAATGAGGGCATATATTTAGCACCCCCAATTTTGAGGATTGGGAATAAATATTTAACATTATGGAATAGCTTAACATGTTTTCGCTGAAAATGTTTTTGAGTATTATTGTAATTATAATCAACCAACTTACAAGTTGCATCTGAATATTTCTACAGTGAATGTAGGTCGAAGCGCGAAATGCCGTCTTTGTATCCCCACGCTAGAGGCGTTTTGAATGCCTTCAAGGAAAAGGGTGTTGATGTTGCCATTGCTTCTAGGTCGCCTACTGCAGATATAGCTAAGACATTTCTTGACAAACTGAATATTACCTCTATGTTTGTAGCCAAGGTCAGCAAGGGAGACTGGCCCATCATTTTACTTTTTGTTCTTTTCTTTTCGAATTCTATCTTCATTTTATTTTATTCTTGTTTTGTTTTCATTAGGATTAAGAAGGAGATAATAATAAGTTTTCCTTAGTAAGAGGAACTTCAGTAAATCAAGCCTACTCATTGGCTCTAGAATAGTGTAATGAATGAGAACTTTACTATGCAGCAGTGTACCTAATTTGTTATATATATTAGCTGTGCTTATTTTCTAATAGCCGTGATTGTATTTTGATAAGGGTGTTTAATATTTAGCCCAGATTGTGTTTGTTATATGTGTTACTTCTTAACTTGAGGAAATATCCAGCGAAACAATCAGACTACAGTGAGATTTGTCTTGCTGTTGATGGTTTGGATAGCTTGTGTTGTAATTATGAGATGAACTGAATTAGGATCATATCTATTGCGAGTCATCTTTCTTTCACTTACACATAAAACCATTTTTCTTTTGATTATGCAGGAGATTTTTTCTAGTTGGACCCACAAAACAGAACACTTCCAGAAGATTCATTCAAGAACCGGGGTCCCCTACAGCTCTATGCTCTTCTTTGATGACGAAAATAGGAACATCCAAGCGGTAAAACTTGTTTTGTTTTGTCCTCTTTTCAATCAAGAAAAAAGTGTATGTTTACCACTGTCACATGTTCAAAAGTAAGCATCACTTAAGTTAAATAGGTCGATCTTATCGATCTCTAGTGACCTCAAAAAATTCCATGGCATTTGTCAATATGTTCTTAAAGCTTGTGCTTCGCTAATTACAGGTTTCGAAAATGGGGGTAACAAGCATTTTGGTCAGCAACGGTGTGAATCTTGGAGCATTAAGGCAGGGTCTAACAGAATACTCTCAAAATTTGAATACTTCTGAAAAGAACAAGCAGAGATGGCTCAAAAAATATGTGGGAAATTCAAGTTCATCTGAGAAAAATGAGAAGGAATGAGTATATCAGAGATGCTGAGATCTGTATTTCCCGTTCCAGTTACGACATGGGAATTAGAAATAAACTCGTGTATTTTCGGGTAGCATTTTTTTATGGCAACATTAAGATATTAATGATTTTTGGTATCAATTGGAGGAAGGCATTCTTGAATACTTTGTCTTCAACATGTTCCTACAAAAGGGAGTGTCATCTGTAAACAATATACTGATCATTATGATACTTTCAAAAAAAAAAAATGTTATTATTATTATTATCAGTATCCCAAATCTCTTTGCTATATCAGTTAACTAAATGATAGTGTCTTATTGGAAATTCTGCAAATGTGGAAGTATGCCGTGGGCTTGGACTTTTAGCGATACCTACATGGATTTATGATTGCTTGCTGATCTTTCATCAAAGATACGGCAACCAACGATGCAACAAATGGAGATTAAAAGGAGAATTTTCTTTTAGATGAATGCTTAGATAGTAGTACTAATAGTAGCAGTAAAAGTAGTAGTAGTAGTAGTAGTAATAATAATAATAATAATAATAATAATAATAATGATGATGATAATAATAATGATAATAATAAAAGAACTTGCTGTTAAAATGCAGAATATCCTCCATATACAAATTTGCGAACAGAACGCATTGGCAGTGATGAAAATTGGAGAGAAGAAAGGTGGACGGATTTTGGAGTTGAAATTGTGAAATCGTGTTGTTTGGTTGGAGCCTTTTTTGGAAGAAAGAAAGCAAAAACAAGGGAGTTATTTGAGAAAACTTTAAAAAAAAAAAAAAAAAGAGGATAAACTCCTAAAAATACAAATTATTGTAGTATATTAGCATAATCCTTAAACATAAGAAAAATAATTGGAAAATAATACTACTTTCCCTCCACTTTCACTTTCAATACCAAACAACAAGAGGTAGTTCTATTTGTTGCCTCCCTAATCCTATTATGCCAAACAACCGTAATTTAACAAGTAGCAAAATAAAACATTAACAAAATTTTCTCTCTCCCTTTTGTTTCCTTCCCTTCCTACAAAACAGTGTTAATCAACGCAGGAAGCAATGTTAAGGAGACCACATCCTTCTATACCCATTTTACCTGTCAGACTTTTTCTAGAAGTTTCAAGTTTTGATAAGAGGTGGGAGACAATAATATTTGTTAGATAATAAAATGAAAATATGGCTTAATTCAGGTGTTCCTATGTATAGCACGTATCTTTAATAAACCATGATCAATATGTTCAGAATTATGCAACAATAAGCAGTGCCTGATTGTGAAAATAAGATACAATGTATAACCATTATGGAGTGTGGAGTCCATGGAGTTTGAAGAAATCAAACAATATTGAAATTTCCTGATGATCACGAATGGAGTCCCGATTTCAACCAAACCCCTTTGTGGTAGCTAATAATAGATCATACAAATGAAATGAACATGCAAACATCGAAATTTCCTTTCATCAACGTTGGTTCTTCCTCAAAAATCCATTATCTCGAAACGTTTCGGAGTTCCAAAAATACAGAAATTCAGCTTCCTCCTAACACCCATTTTGCAGCAGAAACTGTACACAGAAGAACGTCTCGTGGTTAAATTCCTTAAGAGATGAAGTATATATAGTGGATGCCATACTGAAAGACTATTGTTCTTATATATGAAAATTGTGAAAGTATGCTTCCACTATGCGCTAAAGCTTAGGAAAATCTTACTCTTTTACTTCTTAAAAAAGCACGACGCCTTTAAAAAATCACGATGCCTTAAGCGCCACCAATTTTTCATTTCTGCCACGATAATAGCTACTAATAGCACTATGTTTAAATTGAGTTAAAAGGTTTCGCAAAAATGAATTTTGCCTGCATGTACATTTAAGCTTTCAGCACTCTACATAATGCGCATTAAATAAATTTTGTTAAAGACCAGTCTACCAGATAATATTGCCAATCTGAAAAAAGTAGTAAATTACCTTGTGCCAAATTCCTCATGAAAATGCCCCCTTCAATTATATCTGCCTCTGGTTGAGCTCTTTCAATGGCAACCTTTCATCTTTATTTGCTTCAAGTTTCTTAGTTGTGGCCAAAAAAGAAGTATCAACATTCTCTCCAGTAGAATCATAGAGCTCATTGTGCCCATCCATAGTTGGTTCAGTCTCTTCTTCAGGCCTGGGAAAAATTTTCCCTAGAACTTTCATCATTTCAACATCGTCGCTCAAAAACTTGCCAATGTGATCGCAGACTTTCTGAATATAAACCAATAAGTTTTCCCTTTCTGTTGACAACTTCATGATGTCTTGAAGAAGAACGCCTTTATTGAACTCAAGCTCTTTCAATATCCCATCCATTCTCCTTTGCTCATCCATCATGTTTTCGGTTTCCAGTTTTTTGGTTTTCACTAATGCTTGAAGCTGCTCTACTTCTTGTTTCAGGGAAAAGAAGGATTCCTCGGAACTTGTCAATCTCTGGCGCAAACTGCGTAGTTCTTGTTCCAAATGAATAATCAACTTGTTCTTCTCTTCTATCTCTAGATATGTGACTGACTTCCCCCTATCTAAACCTTCAGAAAGCGCATCAATCCTCACCTGGTTTTCTATGACATTTGTAAAGGAGGACATAACTGCACTTGTCAATTCTTGCTCTAGTGAGGTTGCCAGTGCCTTGAGATTTGTTATCGTCTGCTCTTTCTCATCAATGAACTTTAAAAGCATCTCTTTTTCTTCCATAAAAGCTCTTTCTACAACCAACCGAGCGATGGTTACAGCTTCTAATTCTCTAGTTCTCAACTCCTTCAGCATAGCAATGTCTTTTTGCAGACTGTCAATGCAAATATCCTTTTCCTTCACAGTTTGGACTAAGTTCTCTTTGTCTTGTAGGCAAGCTTCCATGTCCTCTGCTTTTTCTGCCAATCTAGATTCTAGATCTTCAATTTGCAGCTGCAGATCTTCATGTTTTCTGACATTCTCTTCGATTATGCAGATAAGGTTTTCCCTCTCATTCTTAAAAATTTGCGTCTTCTCATTTCCCAGAAGGTGTTCTTTCCCATTGTTGAGTGTACTTTCCATCTGAAGTTCCTTATTGTTGAGTGTACTTTCCATCTGAAGTTCCTTTTGCAAGTTAACTTGTGCCCCAGTAGATTCGTCAAGCAAGGTTTTGTGTTTTTCAAGCTCTTTCTCTGTGAGAAGCCATTGTTGCTTCATAAATTCAAATGATTTTACCCTCTCTGTAAAGCCTTCTACTTTATTGCGTTCTTCCTCGAGTTCAAGTTGAGCAATATCTAGAGCACTTAAACTCGTCTCCAACTTGGCTATGAGCAGAGAAATCTTTTCTTCCTTCTCATTGTTGAACAGCTCCATTTCATCTTTCACATTATATGTTGTATAGTAGGCCTCAGACAGTTCTGATTTAAAGACTTCTAGTATTAATGAAATCTCTTCATTTAAAAGCCGAATTGTAGAATGAGAACTTTCAACCTCCATCTGAAGCTTCTTTATTTCTTCCTCTTTACCCTCCAATTCAGATTTGTAACTATCCACATCTCCTTTGATCTTCTCTATCTGAGAAAGCAATTCAGATTCTTTTTCTATCAGCTTTGCAGAGCACTCACTGTGAACCTGTTCTAAGCGTCTAAGCTTGTTATTCAGTTTTGCAGAAAAAGTGGCTCCACCATTTCTATTCTGAGCCTCGTGAAGTTCTTTAAGAGTTACCATTAGTTCCCGATTATCTTGCTCAAGGTGCACAATTTTGAATTCCATTTCTTTTGCAAGAGTCTCATTCATTCCCAATGTACTTCGCATTTTTGCAATCTCTTCAATTCTTTGAACAATTAGTCTTTGGTACTCTGACTTTTCTTCCTGAAACTGGGCAAAGACATTCTCAAAACAAGACTCAAAATCAGACACTTGAACCTCCAAAGATTTCCTCTTGCTTTCTTCATGAGCTAATGCGTGGTTGCACATCTCCAAACGGGATTGAAGACTTTCCGCAATTCTAGTTTGAGAATCCAGCCTTTTCTCCAATGAAGAAGCCTTTTCAATCAATGCTGATTTTCCCCTCTCCCAATCCTCCTTGCTCGTCTGAAACTGGTCTTGGAGCCTTTTGTGAGCTTCTTCAAGATGTTTAAATTGTTCCTTCTTCCACTTCAATTGATCCTGAAAATTTGCCTTTTCCTCCTCTAGTTTAACTATCACCTCATCTTTCTGCCTCAACTCTTTGGCTCCTTGGGACATTTGCTCAGCTTCCGAACACTTCTTCTCTGTAACAGATAAAAGGCTTTTAAGGCCCTCAATCTGCTCCTTACTCGCACACACATCCCGCTCCAATTCTTTGTTTCTAGCTGTTGCTTCATCTAAAGCAATAACCAAATCTCTATTTTCTCCTTCCAAAGTTCTCAATCTCTGCTCCAAATCATCTTTGACTCTCTCATTCACAGAACCCAAATGCCTAAGAAAGAATTCCTTTTCTTGCAAACAAGATTCAAGCTTCTCAGAAAGTTTTCTTGCTTCAGCAATTTCCTCACACTTGGCCTTTATTTCTTCGGATTGTTTCTCAATCTGCTGTTTAGCTTCTTTAAACTTGAGTAACTGCTCACTGTTGGCTTTCTTCAAGCTCTCAGATAGTTCTGTCTTGATTTGAAACTCTGCCTTGAGCCTCTCTAGCTCAGCTTTGACAGAATCTAGTTCATTGTACACATCCTCCATTTTCCTTCCTCTAAACAAATGAAGCTTCTGAAGACCCCTAATGCAGGTAAATCTTAAAAGACAAAGCAAGAAACATGTTACATAGTCAACACTTGGATCATGACTTAATACAAACAAGAGGAATGCTAACTGTACTCGCGATTGGCACAAGTGCACCATCTGGACTGCTTATTTCTACAGTCGAGATCATGCACTTGCACTAGTCACTCTGAATTTAGCATTTCTCTGTGAGCAAATTCTCATCTATCATGCCATGCCATAGCCACCCACGAGATGAAGACACGCAACAGATTTATCAATATCATAACTCAAAGAGTACAATGAAGTGATAAATTAAAACTAATAATAATAATAAAGATAAATAGAGAGCCCTTCTTTAACCAAAGTTCAAAAATAATTTTCTTTTCAATTTGTCTAAATTGCTGGGATTTTCTAAATGAATAATGTGTCCATATGTTATATTTACTACTGCTTCCCGTAAGAATTTCAATTAAGGAAAAAGAATACCATCATGGGTTTGACAAAAACTTAAAAACAAAAAGAAGAGAGAGAGAGAGAGTCGTCGGAGGGCAATTGAATAATTAAAACTCTATTTTCATATCCCTTGACCAAACTCAATTCACAAATAACCCAAAATGAATCACCCAAAATTAAGCTGGAAAAGTGAGTATGAATGATTTACAGAGTTTTTCTGGTCAATCCTATCACTATTTATCTCATATCTGCTCTGTTTTCAACAATTTTTTAGATCTTCCGAAAAAATAACTCCGAAAAATCAACAGATTGTATTAAAGAAAATATGATATAACAATTAACAAAAAAACAAGGAGTAATAAATAAAGATCATGGAAAGAAAGTATGCGTGTATGTTTCAAGTTATATGTTCAAAGGACCCAATTTAAGGAGGAAATCTGAATAGTGAACTTCTATAGCAAGAAATTATTTGAATCTTTTCTTTTTCTTTCTTCTTTTTTTTTTTTTGCTTAATTGTTTGAGAGTATTCTACACTGACTACATCCAATCGAAAGAAAACAACGGAGAGAGATTCTCATCATGAAGGAAAATGTACCTGTGAACGGAGTAAGAAATGCGCCACTTGAGAGAGAGAGAGAGAGAGAGAGAGAGAGTCAACAATTTTTTAGATCTTCCGAAAAAATAACTCCGAAAAATCAACAGATTGTATTAAAGAAAATATGATATAACAATTAACAAAAAAACAAGGAGTAATAAATAAAGATCATGGAAAGAAAGTATGCGTGTATGTTTCAAGTTATATGTTCAAAGGACCCAATTTAAGGAGGAAATCTGAATAGTGAACTTCTATAGCAAGAAATTATTTGAATCTTTTCTTTTTCTTTCTTTTTTTTTTTTTTTGCTTAATTGTTTGAGAGTATTCTACACTGACTACATCCAATCGAAAGAAAACAACGGAGAGAGATTCCAGTCGTCTTTTTTTCTGCAATTTTAGTGGAGAACAAAACGCGAAGAAAACGAACCTCAGGAATTTAACGGAAAAGTTCATCATGAAGGAAAATGTACCTGTGAACGGAGTAAGAAATGCGCCACTTGAGAGAGAGAGAGAGAGAGAGAGAGAGAGAGAGAGAGAGGCGGGAATCAGGCGGTGATTTTGTAGGTTTGAAATCTGCTTGGCACTGGCAGAGAGGTAGGGCCAAAGTGGGAAATTTGCTTTTCTATTTGGTTTTTTTTTTAAGCTCTTATTTTTTTAAAGGGAGATTGGGCATAAGAATTCAAGCCAAAACCCGACGAACCTGCCCGAGCTCCGAAATAGTGGGATTCTTTTTTTTTTTTTTTTGCGGTAGCAATAATGCCCAACCCACAAAGTGCGGGTAGGATCACGGGGTAGATTCAAGAAACCCGATATTGCCCTTACCCGGTTTTTTTTTTTTTTTTGCGGTAGCAATAATGCCCAACTCACAAAGTGCGGGTAGGGTCACGGGATAGATTCAAGAAACCCGATATTGCCCCTACCCGGCCGAATTTATCAACACATAGAAAGAAATCAACCCTAAATTTAATGTTTTCTTTGGCCCAATTCCAACGTCTTCTTTGACCACGGCTACTTTCGAACACACACAACACAACACAGCTATTTTCGGACACACACAACATAAGCCCAATCCCAACGTTTTCTCTGGCCAATGATAATGGGCTTAATTGCAAGAACCCCAACGTCAAGGCCTAATCTGACCAACCCGGTCACCCCGAGCCTACCCGAGGTAATATGAAAAGTTACGGGTTTGTTGGCTTAAAGAAGTGTTGCGGTCCAAATCTTTCTCAGCCCACACATTGCGGTTCGGCCCAATTTCAAGCCCAAGGCTGATCTTATCCGGCCGACTTACAGGCCTAATAATGGAAGATGTACTTTGTCTCTACTGGTAGAGGACAATTTAAAGGCTCTCATTTACTCTTACCGAAAATCTCGTTCATTTGTATTTTTGAGTTAGGGTGACTTGAATGATGATCTTGAGTTGAGTTTAAGTTGTAACATGAGTTGAAGTTGTAACTTGAGTTTGTGTTTGGATGTGTACATTTGAGTTATGATTTGAATTGAGAATCTATTTGAGTTTGTGTTTGAATGAGTCAAAACTTAAATTTGTATTCATAATTATGGTATATAGGTGGAGTTTTATTCGTCTTTTAGTTGTGAATGCATAGAAAAACAAATCATCTCAATCAAAATTAAAACAAAAAAGTTATGGCATTTTTAAGAATAGAACAAATATTGTTCATTAATTTGAGTTCGAGTTTATGAACTCGAGTTAAAGAGGAAACTTTTAAACTCGAGTTTAGCCCCAAACTCGAGTTCAAATTCGAATTCAAACTCAAATTTTACAAAAGAACATAAACTTGAATAAAATTATAACTCGATTTCAAATTTTTTCTGAAAATATTGTTCATTAATTTGAGTTCGAGTTTATGAACTCGAGTTAAAGAGGAAACTTTTAAACTCGAGTTTAGCCCCAAACTCGAGTTTAAACTCGAGTTCAAATTCGAATTCAAACTCAAATTTTACAAAAGAACATGAACTTGAATAAAGTTATAACTCAATTTCAAACTTTTTCTGAGTTTCGTTGCAAAAGAACAATCCCTATATGTGTCGTCCCATATCTAATTATAACTTGAATACAAGGAACATAATTACAAAAATAACCCTTATGTTATTTCTCACCCCATATGCTATACAAAAATTAACCCATATTTATAGAAATACAATTTCTCGCCTCATTTGTTATATAATAACGATGTGTTATTTTTATTTTTTTTAGAAATAGCTAATAAAACAACTCTTATAAATGATTGTTACACATTTTTTTCCTTTAAGAATAACAATTCTTTTTTTAAAATTATATTTTAAATAAATAAATATGAGAAAATGACTTTTCTTAAGAACTTATGACAATGATTTTCAGTTTAATGACAAATTTTTTTTAAGTTCTCAAAATTTCCTTTGAAAGTAATTATAATATGATTAGATTATTTATAAGTAAAAACCCAATAAATTTTAAAAATTAAAAAATATCAAAAGGGATTTCTATAATAGGGGATGTATTTTTCACTGCCGGTAGGACGCAAAATGTATGCCGTCAAATTATTAACAAGGGTTCAAATTGATAGAGCGCATGGAAACTAAGATAAGCACAAATACATTTTATAATACTCTTCTTTTTAAGTTCTATAATTATAATACTACCTCAATATTTTATAAAATTTAAATTTTACATCTAATTAAATCTCAACCATCAATTTAATCAACTTTAGATCTTAGCCGTTCAATTATTAACCCTAACAATTTTGAGATCAGTCTCCATTTTCTTTACTTCCATTGTCGTGCATCTTTCTCCCAAGCTTTCCGTTGGTCAACAACCAACAAAAGTGTTCTATCCCACAGTCCCACCGAAGATCCACAATCTTGAGAGCATTCCATCAATCTCCATATTAAATCTTCCTTTAATCTCCACCCCAGCTTTCCTTTCGCCCTCACCGCCGCCCAGCCAACCACCGAAGATCCACTACGCCCCACCCTTGTCGTTGGGAGGCTGGGTGGCGGTGAGGGCGAAAGGGAAGGGGAGGTATCAGCGACCGGAGCGGAGCTGAGGAGATTGGAGTTGCTCCGATGGAGGCTGGGCGGTGGGAAGTCCTCTTGGATGTAAATTTTCTGATGTTAGGGTTATGGTTGAAGGGCTATGATCTAAAGCTGATTTAGATCTATGGTGAGATTTTAGTTGGCTAGAAACTGAAATTTCATGAAATATTGGTGTGGTATTGTAATTATAGAATTGTAAAAGAAGAGTTGTGTTTGGTACAAGGGTTTTAAAATCAGAATTATGATAATTTATTTTTGTTTGTAAAAAGTAAAAAATAGTTCTTAAAAATTACTGTTTAATTTGAATGGTTCTAATTTAATATTTAATTTTTGATGTGATGTCTTAAACTAGAACTATTTTAAAAAATAAAATCACCTCTCCTTTTAATTTTGGATGGCCGATGACGTTTGGTTGATGGATTTAGAATCATGATTCAAAACCATTCTTGATTTACGTGTGTTTTTTTATGAAAGAAAACATTGTAACGAATCACAAATCATGATTCGAACCACGGCACAAATCTTAGAATTAAACGCATAGTTTTGATTTCAGTTCCAGAACTATGATTTAAACTTTAAATTCAAATCATAAATCATAATTCTAGTTTTAAAATTAAAATCACTCTGATTTAAACCTTCGTACTAAACGTAATCAAAATGTAATAATCAATCACTACCTACAACAAGATTTTTATCAATATTAATACGCCCATTCAAAATTAGCCACACGATGCATTTTCAACGGTTATTATTCTTCATCCTACCGGTAAAGAGAAAGGTAGTCACATTTCTATTTAAATATGGTTAAATTTTCATTATAGAGGCAAATGACCTTTTGGTGATCTCCAATTTAGAAGATGCCGTAGAGGAATCTAGTAAATAATTTTTTTATTTGTAACAAACAAAAATTACCGTCCCCGATCATTGACGCCAGTCTCCAAAGAAGAATCTAGTAAATTAATTTTTGTTTTTAACCAAAAAAAAAAAAAAAAGTTAATGTTATGTCTAGGACGCTCTTTGGGGCTCAGATGCCAAATAGCTCCACTTTTGTTAATATTGATTATTTAATCCTAACCTAAATTTGATTAAGTTTACCATATTGTTACCTTGACATTGTTGTAACAACCACATGTCTGCACCGTCTTTGCTACAATGAGAACGCCTACCACTATCGTGGACACTCAAAGGGGTGTGACATCCAAAGTCTAAGTCCGATAAGCTTTTGTAAGGATCAAAGAAAGGAATTAAGAGGGGCGTTCGTTTCAGCGATTCCAAATTCAAGATTAGAGTTAAAAAAGTGAGTTTAATTAGAATTATATTTGAAATTTGAGTTGTGTGTTCACTTGAATAGTTTGTAAATGTTGAATTTGAGTTTTGTGTTCACTTTGACAAAAAAGAAACTCCAATTTTAACACACGTACGTACTAAGAAAAAGAACGTAAGTACCCCAAAATAATTACCGTTGTCTACTGCCACCCCCTCTCTATCTAAGAAACCAGCTTTCCCACATTTTTCGTCACTTTCCTGAGACAAATTCAACACCTCATAAGAAAAAAAAAAGGAACACCATGTTAGCAGCTAAAGCACTGGTAAAACCCTCTCCAATCCCTTCAGCCTCATTCCCTTCCTCCAAAACCCAAAAATCCCCCGAAAGCCACTCCACAATCCCTAATCTCGCTTTCTCTCTCCGCCGTGAAAATCCCCAACCTCTCCTCGCCGCCGCCACCAACTCGGTCCAAGAACAACAAAATGAGACCCCCGCCAACTCAGTCACGGCCACGCCGGGTCAACTCCGAGTCGACATCCTCTTGGAGTCTCTGCCGTTCATCCAGAAGTTCCGCGGCAAGACCATCGTGGTCAAATACGGCGGCGCAGCCATGAAATCGGCGCAGTATAAGTGTCTTGACCAAACAAAGGAGGGGCCTCTCGTGAGCCAAGCAATAACCAGCACGAAGGAGGGATGACACTGTACGCGCATGTGAAAAGCAGTATGTCGAGAATCTACATTGTAGCAGACAGATTCGAGTTATTAAAATTCAAGGGGTAGCTAATGTTTCATAACTCCAATTCTATCTCGAGTATTGATTTGAGTTTAGATTACCGAACGGTGGACTAAGCCCAAAACTCAATCTAAGTTGGGCAAACTCCAGTTTAATCAACCAAACGAACGCACCCTAAATGAGTGCAAGTGTTGTACTCCCCACATTTCCTGCAAGGGAGCAAAGTGAATCAAGCCATGGGACGGGACATGAGCCAACACATTTCCTGTGAAATTTGAACTAAAATTCAAAATTTTGTAAGAAAAAACACTGGGGCAAAACGGTTCAAGCCCACAAAGTAAGCAAGCAAAGACATGAATGATTACATGAACCTGAACCCACCTACACTCTCAGTCATTCAGCATCAAAGTGCTTGCAGCAAGCACCACACCAACGTACAGATGTTGTGCTTGTTGACTGCTTTTGCGTAGATTCCAAGAGATTTCCACTGGGAGGTGCCGTACAAGAGTTTGAGCAAACCACCGCATCAAGAAACAAATATAACCTGTTTGGTTCATAGGTTAAATTTTGTGAGAGAAATTAATGTTTATAGCAAAAAAATTTGAGCCGTAGTTTAAACTTACGAAACAAACTCACCAATAGTCAAAAACGTTTTGAGTTTGCAACCATAACAAATTGTTCATTTCTGAAGCTGGGGTCTACAGTAAGATATAAAGATCATAGCGAGCAACCTTTTTTTCATATTAATCATGAGTTTTGGGCAAGGCAACAAAATTTGGTACGTCAGTACATCAACATAGAAGTACATTATAGAGTAATGCACATCTCATTCAGGCCGAAGCCCTAAAATAGTTTAATTCAGTGTTTCTACTATTAGTCGAAACTCAAGCGTAGATGAGAAAATAAGTACAGCCAAGGGACTTCAGGTTCACTGTACAAGTCATTTACAGAAATAATAGGTTCAGTCAAGCGTTACAAATTAACAAAACAAACCGACAGCAGATTCTTACATCCAGTTCATATAAAAGGGCAACTAAAGTCTGGTTTCTTGCCTCTAGCAACCTAAATAACAGTACAAATTTCGGTAGACTCGCAACTTCTCTCAAACTCTTTCCTCAATAAGCAATTGTTCAAGTTCCCCCCTTCGCCTCTCCAATTCCTGGGGTTGTAAACACATCAAAGTCGCCACAAGTAAATATTTAAGCTCAGAATGACAAGCCTATTTGTTCAAAGAAACCCAAAATTCATAAACAGAACGGTAGAAGTAGACAACGATTGAGTAAACTGCATTAAATATCAACGTCATATGTAAAATTAAATTCCTATACCTGTACTTACAAACATATGGTAGCAAACACGACGAGTAAAAGGCATACTGGAATGCGTGTATAGATAATAATGCAAATGACCTCAGAAAAACGGTATGATTAATTACCTCTAGATCCTTTACTGCCTGCTCCCTCGAAATTTCTTTCTGCTGGCGAGCACGTTTAAGGAAGCCAATGCATAGGATTCCCTTAATACTCGAAAAGAAATCAAGTGATCAGATCATTAGTTTTAGTTTTTCTCTACAAGGGACGGAAGAAGAAAGGAGAGAATCAAGCCCATCCACAGTGATTGGATATGGAAGCTTAAGATATTAAGAGATGTATACGACCTCAATAACCACCAATTGCATAGGCAAGATTACTAGAACTTTAAGAAGAAAACAATTTAAAAAACTGAAGAGAAAATATGAAAAAGTTAAACAGATTCTTTAATGAGAAATTTTTTTAGGTCATTCTTAAAGGATTTCAGTATCAAGAGCGTTAGCAAGTCAGTTGAGTTTCAATCATTTAACGACGGAACGAAATATCACATAACAATATAAGCATTAACCAGTTCGGCTAGGACATATTCTGATAACTTATCTAGGCAACCAAGGAAACATATATAATAAATTTGATCATGGTGAAGCTGAAAGACACGCATATTATCTCTTTTGATCTAATAAGTATGGTGATTCGTTATTTGCTTACCGAAATAACATAGACTACACCACAAGTAAGAAGCAAGTAGCTTGATATGTTCTGAAGAAGCACAAGTTCCCTCCTATCACTATAATGGTCAGGAAAAGCTCTTGTCATCACTGCAACGCTGGAGTGAACAATCACGCCTTCAGAAAGTTTACTAAATTGTAATGTTAAAAGCGCATGACAGGTATGAAATTTGCTTTAATCATAATTGTAGCCTATTCAAACATTTCAATAAAAAAGTAGCTCCAATTGTTAGTAATAAATTCATATTCCCTGATAATTTGCGATAATAATGTACGTGGGGGCAAAAAAGAAAAGGTCCTTTGTCAATAAATTTGTTTACCATCACCAGCACCAACTTAAGTTATTATGTATGTAACTACATCAACCTAATGCAACTTGCAAACTGAAATAAAAGAAAGAACCTATTAAGGCCCGTTCATTTCGCTGATTCGAATTTAGAATTCGAGTTTTGCTACAGTAAAAAGTTCTCATAAACAATCACATTTAACTTTTTTGCTATAGTAAAAAGCTCTAACATAAAATCACATCTCAACTCGAATTAAAAACTCAAATCAGCGAACTAAACGGGCCCTAATAATTTGAGAACGAATAGAAAAAGAAATCTTTCCCAACATTCATAGTTGGATAAGGGATGTTTGTCAAATTTAAGCTGGGTTAGTAAACAAAATATGGACCACCAATGTTTTTATTTGTTGCTTTTTACTTTGTGTAAGCCTTTCGCCTTTTTTTTTTTTTCCCTTTTCTTTTAAATTTCCGTACTTGTTCTTTTTGTTGGGATGTACTACAGTTTGTTCTATTTCTTACTAATGACGTACAAGATCTGCAGCATGCCCCTACCAGCCCAATACTCCAAAACCTGCAAAAATAAAAAATAAAAAAAAAATAATAATTGAATACTGAAATTAGAAAACGGCACCGATTCGAGTTTGTAATTCAAGTTGAGATGTGATTTTTTATGAGAGTTTTTTACTGTAACAAAAAAGTTAAATGTGATTTTATGTGAGAGTTTTTTACTGTAGTAAAAAAATTAGATGTGATTATTTTTGAGAACTTTTTACTGTAGCAAAACTTAAATTCTAAACTCGAATCGGTGAAGGCCCCGTTCAATTCACCAATTAGAGTTTAAAATTCAAATTTTACTACAGTAAAAAACTTTCAGAAACAGTCACATCTAACTTTTTTATTACAGTAAAAAATTTTCACATAAAATCACATCTCAATTCAAATTAAAAACTTGAATCAGTGAACTAAACATGTCCTTCAATAAACGGGCTTAATACCTAAAAAGTCATAAATTGGGAGTTTCCAGAGGCCCTAACGAGTGTATGGGTATTTTAGGCATTTTAGCTCAACATCAATGAAAACTTAACAATATTCTTACTTTGCTAATACAAAGAATTAACGCATGTTTTGCAATCATAATGCCACATCTTTCGATACCATAAATCAGAATAAAAAAAAATCAAAAAATGGTATTTCAGAAGAAAAATAAGGTGGAAAAAGAGGAAATTACTAGAACTTTAAGAAGAAAACAATTTAAAAAACTGAAGAGAAAATATGAAAAAGTTAAACAGATTCTTTAATGAGAAATTTTTTAGGTCATTCTTAAAGGATTTCAGTATCAAGAGCGTTAGCAGGTCAGTTGAGTTTCAATCATTTAACGACGAAACGAAATATCACATAACAATGTAAGCATTAACCAGTTCGGCTAGGACATATTCTGATAACTTATCTAGGCAACCAAGGAAACATATAATAAATTTGATCATGGTGAAGCTGAAAGACACGCATATTATCTCTTTTGATCTAATAAGTATGGTGATTCGTTATTTGCTTACCGAAATAACATAGACTACACCACAAGTAAGAAGCAAGTAGCTTGATATGTTCTGAAGAAGCACAAGTTCCCTCCTATCACTATAATGGTCAGGAAAAGCTCTTGTCATCACTGCAACGCTGGAGTGAACAATCACGCCTTCAGAAAGTTTACTAAATTGTAATGTTAAAAGCGCATGACAGGTATGAAATTTGCTTTAATCATAATTGTAGCCTATTCAAACATTTCAATGAAAAAGTAGCTCCAATTGTTAGTAATAAATTCATATTCCCTGATAATTTGCGATAATAATGTACATGGGGGCAAAAAGGAAAAGGTCCTTTGTCAATAAATTTGTTTACCATCACCAGCACCAACTTAGGCCCCGTTCACTTCGCTGATTCGAGTTTAGAATTCGAGTTGAGATATTATTTTATGTGAGAGCTTTTTACTGTAGCAAAAAAGTTAGATGTGATTGTTTGTGAGAGCTTTTTACTGTAGAAAAACTCGAATTCTAAACTCGAATCAGCAAAGTGAACGGGGCCTTAAGTTATTATGTATGTAACTACATCAACCTAATGCAACTTGCAAACTGAAATAAAAGAAAGAACCTATTAAGGCCCCGTTCATTTCGCTTATTCGAGTTTAGAATTCGAGTTTTGCTACAGTAAAAAGCTCTCACAAACAATCACATTTAACTTTTTTGTTACAGTAAAAAGCTCTCACATAAAATCACATCTCAACTCGAATTAAAAACTCAAATCAGCGAACTAAACGGGCCCTAATAATTTGAGAACGAATAGAAAAAGAAATCTTTCCCAACATTCATAGTTGGATAAGGGATGTTTGTCAAATTTAAGCTGGGTTAGTAAACAAAATATGGACCACCAATGTTTTTATTTGTTGCTTTTTACTTTGTGTAAGCCTTTCGCCTTTTTTTTTTTCCCTTTTCTTTTAAATTTCCGTACTTGTTCTTTTTGTTGGGATGTACTACAGTTTGTTCTATTTCTTACTAATGACGTACAAGATCTGCAGCATGCCCCTACCAGCCCAATACTCCAAAACCTGCAAAAATAAAAAATAATAATAATAATAATAATTGAATACTGAAATTAGAAAACGGCACCAACAATTTTTAATATTCCCTTTATTTGAGTTTGTAATTCAAATTGAGATGTGATTTTATATGAGAGTTTTTTATTGTAGCAAAAAAGTTAAATGTGATTTTATGTGAGAACTTTTTACTATAACAAAAAAGTTAGATGTGATTATTTTTGAGAACTTTTTACTGTAGCAAAACTTAAATTTTAAACTCGAATCGGTGAAGGCCCCGTTCAATTCACCGATTAGAGTTTAAAATTTAAATTTTACTATAATAAAAAACTTTCAGAAACAGTTACATCTAACATTTTTGTTACAGTAAAAAATTTTCACATAAAGTCACATCTCAATTCAAATTAAAAACTTGAATCAGCGAACTAAACATGCCATTCAATAAACGGGCTTAATACCTAAAAAGTCATAAATTGGGAGTTTCCAGAGGCCCTAACGAGTGCATGGGTATTTTAGGCATTTTAGCTCAACATCAATGAAAACTTAACAATATTCTTACTTTGGTAATACAGAGAATTAACGCATGTTTTGCAATCATAATGCCACATCTTTCGATACCATAAATCAGAATTAAAAAAAAAATCAAAAAATGGTATTTCAGAAGAAAAATAAGGTGGACAAAGAGGAACCTTCCAGAACTTGACCATGAATCCCCATTCCGTCTCCGCCAACACAACCAATAAAGCAATCAGGACCGCGTAACACCGAAATATCCCATCGAAAATCTGCACTTCACCTCCCAAACATCAACATACAAAGAGAAGAGATGAGAGAGAGAGAGAGAGAGAGAGAGAAAGAGAGAGATTACATCAGATCCGTCCTTGAAGGATCGGACGGCGGAGAGGACATTGACGGCGATGCAGAGAATCGCAGCGACGGCGGTCAACAACCTAAAGCACCTACAGACCACCAAGAATGGGTCAGGCCTGGCTCTCAGGAGTCTCCCACTAGAAGAAGACGGAGAAGAAGGAGAAGCTCGAGGAGGAAGAGGAACGCCCGCTTCTTCACCCTCCGTTCTCGACAGTTTCTCTTCTTGTTTCTTTTCCCAAGAAAACTCTCTCACCTCGTAGAAAATGAAAATGAGAATTCTTTCCGCGCCTAATAAAAAGCCCCAATTTTTTATTTTTATTTTTAAAAAGAACACTATAGAGATCAGAAAATTATTCAACAAGAGACCAGCAACTAGTGCTTCGCCTATTCCTGAATCCTGCTTATGAGTAGAAAGCGG